ATAACACATTACGTCTGAGGCACGAAGCGTCTTGAAGGGTTGGACCGCGAAGCGGTCAAAAGGCGCACCCCCGAGTTAATTCATAACGATGGTAAAACTCCTAAACCACGTATCTTGTTTTGCGACGTTGCAGACTTACTGTTACACTTTATTTTATAAAATGAAAACTACTCAACGTCAGCTCTTCAAAACTTCCGTGATTTCCTCTCTAGGCCAAGAAAATTTTGTGAAAACTTCAAGGAATAATGATCATTTTGACCGCGCGTTAAGCAGAAAGGAACTAAGCCACATCAGCTATTGCCAAATTTGATTGGGCAATTTAATTTTTTTCATGTATACGGTTGTGCGGATTTTTGTGCAAATTTCAGTGGATTTCCTCCATAGTGCGAAGCAAGTGCCCTAAAATTTTCAACAGAATCCGCACAAACGTTCATTCATAAAAATAAAATTGTCCAGTTAACTTTGGCAATAGCTGATGTGGCTTGGTTCCTTTTTGTTAAACGCGGTCCATTTGTTCTCCGTAAAAAAGGAGCGGGGATTTGTCAACACCGCAAACGAGATACGTGGTTTGGGAGTTTCACCATAGACATGGACCGAGTTTAACAGAAAGGAATCAAGCCACATCAGATGTTGCCAAGTTTAACTGGGCAATTAAATTTTTTACGAGAGAACGTTTGTTCTGATTTCTTCGAAAATTTTCAGGAATTTGCTTCGTGCCGTGGAGAATTTTCTCTGAAATTAGCACGAAAATCCGCACAACCGTTTTCATGTAAAAAATTAAATTGCCCGATTAAATTTGGCAATAGCTGATGTGACTTGGTTCCTTTCTGTTTAAAAGCGGTCCACGTGTAGGTACTACCGATTGTCAATCATGCTCACCTACCTGACTCAGAGAGTGTGAAGGGCTGAAGATTTAATTCCGTGTGCAGCGACACAAAGCTCAAAATCCAGTCCTCAATATATTATAAATGCTCCATTGAATAGGTACACAGTGCTCAACTGCTGTTGATTTCTCACTAGACCACTGATTGAAGAGAAATCAATGTCTCGTAAAGGGTGAAAACTTACACCAGCGACTGAAAACGGCTGTTTAGGACACGCACAAATCCAAACGTGAAATTGGAATTACTAAAATTCTCTGCGAAAGTTTTCAGGGCGAAATATTTTTCAAAAACATTTGCGATTTTCGTGGGCGTCGGTAACACGTGCCGCGGAACACGCGAGCGAAATGCGGGGGTGGAACCGGCGTCGAGAGGAGTGGGAAGCGCCACGTATCGCGTGGCACTGTTCGAAATCCTGCGGGCGCTTTTCCGGGCGCCGCGACGCTCGCCGCTCGCGCCGCGGACAGGGTGCGCGAAGCGTCGCGGCGCGGCGCTGTCCCGCCAACATTCGAGCGTGACCATCTGCGGGAAGAGTGGACACACACGAGGCACTTAAAGATTGATTGAGCGAGCTCTTTGGGTTCGTGCAAGGGACCGCTACTCTAGTAACAGGGACTCGTGAAGAGCTTGTAAAAAAACGCGTGAAAACTTATTAGTTGCACTTGCTTAGAACATATCGGTTTTTTTAAAAAAAAAAAATCGTATTTTCGATGATTTTCAGTTTACACGTAATAAGGAAGGTGAAAATTGGAAAGAGGATGTGAAAAACGGAGATAGGAAGTGAAACCCGGATGTGGGAAGTGAAATAATTCGAAACATTTCGAAACAATTTGAACTTACGAGTTGGATTTTGTGGTATCTCGCGAAATTGAAGGACAATCTTAGCCTTTCTCCTGTCTCAAATTGCTGCCGTTTATACATCTGGATTCAATGATTGCATCTTTACATGCGGAATGCAAGTGCAACTATTCGGCCGTGGAAACTGGCAAATGAGCATAGATTTTCTTTTGTTTTCCGACAATTCGCATGGACTCAATTGTTTATGGCGCGTTTTGAACTTACTGGGATCGAACTTTCAGAAACTTTCCATATGCGCGAGAAACGTCCTGAAGTAAAATTCTGAAAATTCAGAGGTCCAATTTTTTTGCCGGAAAATTGGCATAGGATCATGAATTTTTCGTCGTTTATGTGTTTCGTTGAATAGCACATTTCAAACTTACATGGATCGACCTTTCAAACATTTCCACAGGCGCGAAAGTATCCTTGGAAAAATTTATGAAAATTCCGAAGTGTGGTTTCTCGTCTAAGGAAACTAGCAAAGGAGCGGCATTTTCCCCTGTTTTCCGATCAGTTGCATCGACGCTATTAATTAAAGTATGTTTTGAACTAAATCCGATCAATTTTTTTTTCTTTAAAAAACAAATTCCATACGCGCGAAGATATCTTTAAAAAAATTACTGATATTCCTAGGTTCAGTTTCTCGGTCGGGGTAACTGGTAAAGGAGCATGGACTTTCCGTTGTTTCCCAGGGTGTCTACTAAAACTGGTTGGCAAAAATTATATACTTTTACAGTGCTTTGTCGGTGCCTTTCCAAAAAATTCAGTAGCTTATTAGCAGAAAAATTCAGTACTTCATCGGTACCGTTAAGTTGTTGCTATTTTGAGTTCCCATTATTTAGTTATATTTCTCACCGCTTGTTTATTTTTAATTCTTCTGTAAAAAGGATTCATTTGCTAAGTAAAATCTTTGCTTGAGCTCATTTAAATTATGTGGTCAAAACTGCCCTAGTGGAAAAGGAAAACCGAGAAGGAAAGCATGGACGCTACTGCAATATTAATCTCCCATCGCATTGCCAAGGCGCAATGATACAACTATTCGTACTCCTCGGAATGCGTGAGGTATCACGCCATTATTGAAGGCGTTTTCGAAAACGCAAACTTTCCACATCGGGATTCTCGTGTTGTACAAAATTCGGAGCATGAGATAAATGGAATGACTGATCTTACGAGCTAGTGCAACAGTTATGCGCACATCGCCTTGGTTTATTTTATACTTTCGTTTATAGCTTCCGTTCCAATTGAGAATGAGCGTATAATTGGCTCGGATGTGTTTTCTTTCTATTTAAGCTTTTCACTCACCCTTTTTACTGTACCTCTTGTATTTTATTGTTGACTTGGGTTCCTATTATTTTGTTATATTTTGTGCCGCATGTTGATTTTTAATTCTTCTATGTAATATTATCCATTTTCTATAGGTGTGGAGGCTACTTCAGTAATAATCTTCCATCGCATTGCCAAGGTGCAACGATACAACTATTCGTACTCCACGGAATGCGTGAGGTATCACGCCACAATTGAAGGCGTTTTCGAAAACGCAAACTTTCCACATCGGGACTCTAGTGTCGCATGAATAGGGTGTCCACTAAATCTGGCTGGCAAATATTAAGTACTTTTAAAGCACTTTTTCAGCGCCAATCCAACAAATTCAGAACCTTATGAGCAGAAAAATTCAGTACTTTTTTGGTACCTTAAAGTGACGAAATTCGAAAATGGTCAAAATTCACACGCATGTCGCGAGAAAAATGACGTAGCCACGAATTTAGAAGCTCATTGGCGCTCTTAGGATCAACTGGCTTCACAGTTACGATCCAGCGGGAAAATACCGCGCTAAAAATCATTGCGCAATGGATTATACAATTTGTACACCTATTTTCCAGGCTGTTTTAAAGAACACCCGTAGCATGAAACAAAAATTCCGGACCTTTTAAGGGAATTTCCGTGCCTTTTCAGTACTTCCGGACCGCCTTCAAAAAATCAGTACTAATTCCGGACTTTCCGGATCAGTAGACACCGTGTTTTCTGACCAGTCGCATAGTTTCAAACCATTTTTACCCATCCATTCTTTATAACGCGTATTTATTTTATTTGGATGCACGAAAAAATTGCTTTAACGCGAAAATGTCCTTGGAAGAGCTTGGAGGACAAGGCGCAGAGGTGCAGTTTTTGCTACTTCGAGAAATACGTGTTCGAATTTTCGAAATTACACGGATCCTTATTGCAAAAAGAAAGTGCAAACTAACTTTTTGATGCTTGAAAATTGGAATTCGGAGGCAAATTTTTCATGGAACATGCATTAGGACTTTTTTACTTGAAATAATTAACATCTCAATTTTTTCAGAAACTGCACTTATGCGCCTTGTCCTCCATACTCCTCAGTGTAGATACTGTGCTTGCATCTTTGTATGCGGATACTAAGTGTGCAAGTATTCGAACTCCGGAGTCGGAATAGTATGTAGTATCTCGAGAAAATGAAGGAAAATCTTAGCTTTTCTCCATCTCTGAAAATATTAACGTTTATGCATTAAATATATGTATTCTGGTATCATGGTCGAATCGTCGTATAAGGAAACCAAGCGCGCGACTATCCGGCCGGGGAAAAAATGGTCTAAGAGGCAGGGATTTTTCGTGGTATTCCGACCAGTTGCATCGAGTCCAATGTTGAAAACGCGTTTTGAACTTACTGGGAACGAGCTTTCATTTCCATTGGCGCGGAAGTATCTCTGGAAAAACTGCAAAAAATTCCAAAGTCCAGTTTTTCAGCCCAGGAAACTGGCAAGGAAGCACAAAATTTTTGTTTCTTTTGACCAGTTAAATCGACTTTATTATTAATAGGTACACAGACAGAAAATTCAACAAACTAAACGCACGAAAATATCATTGAAAAACAAGTGAAAATCTCGAGGTTCAAATTCTCGACCAGACAAACTGGGAAAATGGTAGCATAGATTTTGAGTTAAGTATTCCCGACCAGTTATATCAATTCATAGATCAATAACCAGTTATATCAATTCCGATTCATAGATTGTTTTAAATTTACTCCGATGGAAATTTAAAAAATTAAATCAATTACAGCTTGCGATATTTCAACTCTACTGAGATTGACTATTGCCAGCCTTTTTTTTAACTAAAAAAAAAAAAAAAAAATTGGAAGTACAAACTGGCCTATTGTATTTTATTTTTTTCGAGATTTTACATTATGACAATTAGATCCAAGATAAGATTCAAAAGTATAGTAAATGAAACTTACAGGCTGATGGAAAAAAAAAAGAAGAGAAAAAATGGGAATGCAATATTATTTATTTCTCGAGCATAAACAAATAGAATTTTAATCGCTGAATGTACATAATAATAATCATCAGAATTTCAACAATAAAATAATTTTCACTTTAACTTTAAGTAGTTACACTTTCAAAGATCGTAAAAATTACGTATTTGGATCCTATTTCAATTTGCGGTGCAAAATCGAAGAAATGACCATGAGAAAGGATCTTTCCTTTTAACCTTTAGGTAATTTGCATTCAACTGAAAATTATTTTTAGATTAGGTTCAATAATGAATCACATTTAATGTTAAATATTCTTGGAGAAAATAATTACATTTAACATAATTTAATGTACAAAAATGGATAACAAGTCAACAATATGTGTGAACTGACAAATATTACATGATGATTCTTTCAGCCAAAGTTTACAAAGATTTTGATACAACTTCAATTCATCAATTCTGAAACCAAATGGTTATTTACAGACAACTCATTAACAGCACGATTAATTAATGAACGGTTTATTGTCCACTGTGAAAGATTAATTAAACTCATTTTTTCAAAACTATGACTCGCTATTTTTGTTTCCAATTCTGTGCTATCTTTGATTCCTTTTTATCATACATCAGAAGACTGAGTCTATGATAGCTTATTTCCAAAATTAAAGACAAAATATTTGATACAAAATTGTGGAAAATTCTGTGAGATGACTTCTGCACAGGAGAAGCGTTCAGTCATCTTTCCAAGACAGATGAACAGCCTGGTAAATGGATGGTAATAATCTGTTCTCAAGAACTTAACTGGCAAGAAATCATGGCAGGTAAATTGTCCAGACACTTTTCAAAATAGATGAATTATTTAAATGCATAACTAATCAAAAATATGGTAATCTATTAAACTAAATTACATTATGATGGATATAAGCGTAAGTTTAAACACTTTCATCATTGCGAAAAAACACAATGGGTTGTGTCGTTGAAAATTGCACAAATTATTTAAAATAGGTAGGTATGTTCTATTTTATGGACTTAAAGCTTTTTGTCGTTGGAAATGAACAAAAGCGAAGATAAACGAGAAACTTAAGAGGTACTTGTAAAGGTACAATTGAGAACAAAAGAAGAAAGTTCAAAACTTTAGAACTTCAAAAGTAATGGGCTATAAGAAATGACTCCACAATTTTTATTTCTCTTTAACATTTTTAATAATCCAAAAGCAGCTCATTTGCTAAAAAAAAAACCCTTTTCTTTCATAACAAATGAATGAAGGATCATTCTTTACACAAGAATTGCAGTATACTAGATGTCATTACATTAGTCAAATTCAACAAGTTTTGAACTGAAAAGCATGAAAAAGATTGGTCTTCTACAAACACTAAACAAAAGATAGAAAGAAGATGAGGGCTAACTAAGAAGGAAAGCAGCGATGAAAGCAGAAATTTCACAATTTCCTTAAACCCATCTCTATTAGTTTTGCACGAAAAATAGGAACAGCATAAAATGCATCAGTCTGTAAATGAACTTAACCCGAAAATTTTCATGAAAAAATCATCTAAATTTAAAAAGCCATAGCATGAACTTAATCTAACATGAGATCTTCAAGAATTTAGATTCCATAGAGAATGACTGGTAAGCGAGTATTATAGCTGGTTTTAAAAGATGTGTTCCAATTAGTCTTGCTTTGAGAACATTGTACAACCTTTACAGATCATTGTAAAAGTCTTCTTCTTCTTTTTTTTTTTTTTTTTAAATTATGAGCTTCAAGAGATGTACGAGGATTGTCATGGGTGTACACCAGTTTTTATGGATGAAAGAGCAAAAAAAAAAAAAGTCTAAGTGGAAACACCAAAGCAAACTGCTATTCTCACAGTTTGCCCACTGCATCTTATTGAAATCTGGGAAAACTCCCAAATAATTTTAAAAATTACTTGATTCAAAGAAATACAAGAATAAAATAAATCTTTCGTTTCAATGCCATCTACTTTCTCCAGAGAAACTAAATTAACATATTTCCAGTCATATCGAGCTCATGGACCAGACACTGACATGTCTCAGGCTCATGGGACTGACACTGGCAAACTGACATCAATGACAGGCAAACTGGTGTCGTCAATCTAACAGCACATTGACAGCGACTGTACAAATTTTGGGGTAAACATTTTCTGACCATGGTTTTTGAGTTTTTTCAATTGCTCACCAAATGTTGTCCTTAATTACAAGTATCTCTGGTGACACAAGAACGAATGATTGGAAACACATCAGTGTGGTGGGTAAGAAATAATTCTGAAATGAGCATTGACTGATAATTTGATGCTAAATACTACTGTCTTGATAAAATGATACTCATAATGGAAAAATAAATGGGAAAAGTCAACCCTTACAGGGCTGGAAAAAAATAGAAAAGAGTAATTACAAAAAATTAAATGACTTTACATGATACAGGTCAGCCCTCAAATCGTTCAGGAATGCAACATTTTCTGTCTCCTCGAAAAACAGGCAGGATTTCCTTGGATAATGTTACACTACAATATCACTAATTTTTCATGATAAGAAAAAGTTCTGGGACAACCTGGAAATAACATCCATCAGTAGCCTGATTGCTGAAACTTTAGCTTGGTTTTGACCGCAAGATAGGACGAGACATCTGTACTCTGTGATCGATCGATTTTTGATGTCTTGTTATGCCAACATAAATTTCAACTATCAGGCTGCAGGTATGGGAAATAATCGTGCAAAAATGCTTGCCTCCACCTGATCATATTCACAAGTAGTTAAAATGCACACTGAATCTAAAAGAACATTCCTGAAGAATTTATCTACCTAGGGACAAATAAGACTTTAAAACGGTTATTGGTAACCATTTTGTAACGTTTGCCAATTTATGGTATTTTTTCTTCTTTCATTGAGAAGAGAGGGCCAACCCATGAGGCCCTTTTCCAATTCTAAATCTGACCATGGATGCCATTCCGGTAATCAAATAATGTTCAAGACAATTAGACTTACACCGAGACTTAAAAGTGGTTTATACTACTTTTATTGCTTAGAAATAAGCTAACGTAACTCTTTCCTTAAAAAAGGTACTCTTTCAGAAATATTTACTAAATCTAAAACTCTCCTCGGAAAAAAGATAAATACTCACAGCTTCTCTTGATACTTAGAGTTGGACCAAAATTTTTTACGATTTTTCATTTTTGCAGACCTCATTTTGAGACTGTTTTACAGTTTCTTCAGATCATAAGAAGTAAGGAACATTCATCAAGTGGCAAATTTCAGGAATTGAACTTTATTTTGGGTGATGACGAGATGAAATAGTGTTAAATTATGGGATGATGTCAATAACAAACATATTACATGAATACATGAGGATTATTCCTTCTTTTTTTTTTTTTAGAAAAAAAAAAAAAATACTTGACCGCAGAGTATAATTTCAAGCAAACATAAAGTAAATTATAAGCATTTCATACTTCGATTCGAAAAATATCTAACCTAAATAAGAATATTTTGTGAGCTACACACAATTTCATCAAATTTGAATTTTCTATGCACCAAGTAAAATAATGAAAACAAGAGGAAAAATAGATACAACAAATTGATCGATGCAATAATGATAACAGATAAAAATAATAAGGCAAAAATGACAGCGGCGTCAAGAATGAGACATTAATGGAGGAGCTGATTAGTTGGGAGAATAAAATCAAGTTTTTATGAAATCACATAATACATTCTTTTTTTTATTATTTATTAATTTAATTTATGACCTTAAGACAAAGTCTTTCAATTTGAAGCCGTGAGTTTTCTTTTCATGATTTTCATCACATCAAGGAATTTCAATTCTCTTCTTTTTTTGACGAGCCGCACCTTTCAAAGAAAATTATGCACCAGTGCATACAAAAATGAAAGTATAAGAAAATTATTCATATGCATTTATTAACTCCCTTCATTTCAAAGACAAAATGGAGGGGTTTCACTTGGAGGGGGGGGGGGCATTCTTACATTCTGCATTCTTAACTCAGTTCATTAACACTTAACACTCTTCTGCTATAAAAAATCTACCTTTGATTAACCCTTCCATAACCATGAACGCAGCATCTGTGTTCGGCAAAATTGTACCCTTCCTGCAGCATCTCCACCATTAATTAACTCCGCAACCTCCACTCAGAAGTACTCTTATTTGTGGCTCTTATCTGTTGAGGAGAATCTAAATTACAACTGTAGCCACTTTTTGACAGAGTACTCTGCAGTTATTTTTTTTTTTGGATGACCAAGAGGGACATTACCTTTTGTTTGCATGATAACCAATTGCGGTGCGAAGAGCGCACGCAGAATTTAGACCGGTAATGATAGGGTTAATGGTAAGGTTTGGTGAGGGGCCTCAAATCAGAGAGCTGAAACTATAGATACTTCATGTTTTAATTGGACAAAATGAAGTAATAAGAAAAAAAACCATTATGTGTTAAGCAGAAGAATAGTAATTTTTGCTGCAAATGAAAGGACGTTTTCAAAGTTCAAGGGAGTCAATTTACTGGATGACCTTAGCAGGAAAAAAAGTAAACTTCCACTAAAGCTGATGGTAATAACAACAGTTAGCTGAGGATCCTCTTTTCCCCACGAAAAAATTAGACAAAGAACCTGAATATTACTACTATCAACTGTAAAATAAACTTACTATCACAGAGTCAAGAACAATTCGAAAAACCATTTCACCTCCAATAAGAGGGCCAGTCTCCTACTTTGAGAAGATATTTTGCTGACTTTTATCATTTTCAAATTCAGACCAAGCGTTGTTTAATTCCATAAAAATAAGTTTAGCGATATTTTCATTAGGAGTTCCAATTTGCTGCAACAGAAAAAGGAAAAATTAATAGTTCATTGATTTACTTATCTACAAAGGCCTCTGATGTCGGAGGCTCTTTTTTCCAAAAGACTGTTTCATTGATTGAGGTGTCTGTAGGCAAAACACTTTGAGCATTGATTTTTGATTATTGATGTAGTAAGGCTGTTGCAAGATCCAAGAATTGCTTTAAAAATAGGCGTTTCCGCCAAAAGACAGTCACTGTGTGCAGGTGTTTCCACAATGTTAAAACTGCTTTAAGGGCTGAAGAAAAGAGACGTTGAAGTTGAAGTCTAGAAAGCATGTTTTTCATTGGCTTAAGGCTTATAACGTCTCATGAGGCAACAATCCTTGGTTTCAATCACCTTGACTTTAACGCAACATGGCCCAGGATGATTCAAATCATATAAAAACGATTTCATTTAAAAAAACAACAACAACAAAAGTAATAACTTAACAAGTTGGTTTTTGCAATCGCTAGCGATAGCAATATTCGTCATGGGAACTTTTGCTTCTGGGATATGAAAATGTTAAGGTACAGTTCGTTTGTAGTATCTTCAGAATTGAAGGGGCTATGTAATTTTGTGTCGACATCTCTTTTTTAACATTTTTAATTTTTTTTCTTTGCATACAAGAAAGCTGTTATTTACCAATTATTTATTTTCGTTGGATTATGTATGGTTTTCGGAAGTTAACGCATTTTACTTTCAGTTTCGTTTTTTCGGCGTAAAGTATGATATTTTTACTCTACGCATATGCCCGAATACGCATCATAAGTGACCTATGTGCTTCCTAAGTTGCCATTTTTTTCATTCAAATAGATGTAACTGAAATGTTAGATGTGTACCAACCTATACTACTTTCATGTCATTGCTTTATTTATTTATTTATTTATTTATTTGTTTATTTATTTATTTACTTTTTGCGTAGGTATAAATTGTTATTTTTTGCTGAATTTTGGAGAAAATATTACTTTAAGAACGTGGAATGTAAATTAATTTTATTGAAAAAAGAAAATACCATCATTAATTTGGGCGAACAGAGAAAATATACATCAATATTTGGGTTAACATCTCCCTGATTATATAAAGGATGAATATATTAGTATTTCTGTATCAAAAAACTTAGCTTTTGTCTTCGGAGATACAATGATTCTAGTCCCAGTCAATTTGTTGTATTGAAAAAACAAAAAAACAAAAAATAAATAAAAAAAAAACAACTGAAATGTTCGACATACTATTTTCATGTCTTTCTATTTGTATCAATGGGTACTTTTTGCTTAACTTACGAACGTTGAATGCAAATTAACTTTATTGAAAAAAGAAAATAACGTCATTAATTTGGGGAAAATGTGGCTGATTATATGAAGGAGGTATATTCCAGTATTTTTGTTTAACATATTAACTCACGAGAAAATGTTCGTACATTTATCATCTACTATTAATTATTTTTTGATGATTAGTCTAAAACATTCAATACAACCATTAAAAAATAACACCCATCGTCGGGTATCGAACTCCCGATCGCCCGTTGCCCGCATCTACTCAAAAATATGGGGCCGTTTAGTCAACTAGGCTATCACGGAGCAGGGTAGCGTAGAGTAAAAATAGCATACAAAAGACTCGGGCAATGGGCGGGGCTTATCACAAGAGACCTTGCGACGCTTTGTTGCTGAGAGAAATGAACCAAGCACATTGCTGTAGGAGCCATGCTTCGCACTGTTTTCATGTCTCCCAGGGTTCATCTCAACATGCATATGTCATCGCGGCAGTAAGCTGAGGCGATATTAGTTTATCCATGAATTAAATCAATCAATCGAGCTCCGATTTTGACTTCTTTGTCCGTAACGAGTCCTCCAGAACAATTTTCCACCTTGTACGATGGTTATTATTTCTTTACTTCTATTTTTCAAATTTGAGGTGGGATAATGGCGGCTTCTCAAGAGCAACGAGGTAGGCGATCTTTTGCACCAACGAACAGAAAACTGATGGCGAAAAATAACCAATCAGAACCTCCCAAAAAAAAGAATTTGCCTAAAAACGGAACTTCGTGGATCTGCGCAGATTTACCAGTCAGACACGACGTCTTAAGGTGGAAAAAAACTCGCTGAAAGCGAATTTTAGCAATCAACACAACTTGACGTAGAGACATGATTGGCTAAAAAATACAACGGTTTTTGATACATCGGAAAATCAACCAAAAATTGGAGACTGGGCGAAACGCTCAAGGTCGCAGAGGTATAGGGAATCCCATTGCGAAAGCAACGGAACGATTGTAATATCATGGGGAACTCCGTTCCCATGACAAAACAGCGACGATTCTGTAAGCACAGTCCGGATACAAAATCGCTTGTCACAATACCGACCTGAAAGTTAATAAACAAATACGGGTGAGAGGATACACTGCGGTCAATTCATCTTGTTACATCACAACATTTGTTGGTGAAATATTTTCCCCCTTGAAACGATGTTAGAATTTGGCAGTTCCAGAAGTCTTTTTCTCAGCTAAAATTTGGTAAATGAAAAATGGAAAATGCAGTTATGTTTATTTTGTACCTATTTTCCGAAAATGAATTAATGAGAAATTGTGCAACTGCCTCAATTAATTCAAATTTATGGAGATGAGGTTCCATTGTACAAATAAAGGAAAATAAAGTGGTCGCGGAAAATTGAAACAGCAAAGTTACCTTATCTGGATGAACACAGAGGCAGGCCTTGCGATATTGCTTCTTAACGTCAGCAGGAGATACCAACTGTGCCATATCACACTGCCATCGCGCTCCTTCCCATAGAACAGAATGCATTGAACACAGCAGGGCGCGAATGTTATTCTTCTTGCCTTCAGTCCACTCAATAATCTAGAAACAAGAAATATGATTTTAACAAAATTTGGAACGCTCTATCTTAAAATGATTTCCATGAAGCCTTTTTGTGGCTGCCAACACCCCGATAAGACTACTCTTAAGTTGTTACGGATGGCATTAAATAGTCAACTATCCATAGTTCAGAGATAGAATTACGCTCTATCTTAAAATGATTTCCATGAAGCCTTTTTGTGGCTGCCAACACCCCGATAAGACTGCTCTTAAGTTGTTACGGGGGGCATTAAATAGTCAACTATCCATAGTTCAGAGATAGAATTATTCATTGCGATAGGAAGGGGTGTAGAAAGTTTTTCCTTTACATTTTCTGAGACTGCTTTCATATTGTCGTCCAAGACTCCTTTTCCTTTAAATTTTTTGGAGCAGCCTTCAAATTGCTGTCCACATAAAACTGCACGCTTCACTATTTTCTTTGCTTTATAGAAGACGCTTCACTATTTTTCTTGCATCGAGGAACGCATTAGAGTTTCCTTCATCAGAAGTAATTCAGTAGTTTCCTTCTGAAAAATAATAAGTTTAATGGTTCCCTACACAAAAATGCCTTCTGTCTTGACATTTTGTCCCCTTTTTTAGGTGCTGTCACATTTCTTCCGCAGTCGGCTGATGGTGCACTCTCTGCACCCCTGGTGAAAAGATCAATTTTATTCAGTTCCATTTCATTGCTTGTCAGCTAATTTTTTCTTTCAGAAAGCCTAACTTTTGCTGAGCCGTTAAATGATGTTTGGAGAGCACTGAACAATTTTGAAGATGTTCAGAAGTTAAAGAGAACAAGGAATTGATTATGATATTGTACTAAATGATGCAGTGCATGTCTCTCCTCTACAATGGTCTTTTGATTCTCATGCTATAAGAGAGGCTGCAGAATTTTTCACCCCTTTAAAATCATTCTTGATACCACATTTAGAAGATTACATACAATTATGTTTCATTTTGGAGTTGAAAGGCTTTCTTATTGGAAGAATTTGTACTTATAATCCATTGGTGAATTGGCCCCCATATGTCTGCCCTCTTTCAGGCAGAGCTAGGTCGAAAATACAATTTCAGCGAAGCAGAGTTGATTTCATTCCTCTCAGTGATGAAACTTTTATGCATATACATTTAACCTTGTTTCGTTCAGCTCTGAATTTTTGTATTGACACTCACTATAAGGTGAAGTTAACGATGCAGAAAATGTCCGATCAAACGATTCTAGGATCGCGGCAAATGTGAAGCAAATTTTGGTTGGGAGACAGCTTTAAAAAATATGACTTTCTTTTCCTGCTCTCTATTTTTAAAAAAGTGGAGCAAATCGCATATTTTGTCATAAAATTAGGCATTTTGCTAAAATATCAGACAATAGGCTGTGAGGCAAATCAGATCTATGATGAGGAGGAAAAAACGTCATGAAACGAGAAACTGTCAGCTTTATGGAACTTTCTGCACCCCTGGATACAATTATCGGTGTAGGGGCCTCTAAAATCAATTGACATTGAGAAGAATTCACCTTTAATTTGTCTGGATCCATGTCTTTTGCCATTTCTTCTTTCCTCATTTCGTTGATGGTACGGGGCCCAGCATCTTTTTTACTAGAGAAGGCATAACCTTGACTTCCCAGCAAATCGCCAAAGATGTCTCCAGATTTATTTGGAGGTTTTGTTTCTGGTTTATTAACACTCTCAAAGTGTGAACGACTGTAGCTTGGCTCACATGGTGACTTTGCCTGATGAATTGGACTATCTATCAAGAAAAAATTGAACTTCGATGTAGATTATTTTCAAAATTTGGAAAACCAATTGTAAAGATAATTACAAGTAGATATCAGTTAGTAAGATTCCATGATCATTGTACAGATTAATACATCTTTTATGGTATACTTTTTTCCCCATCTAATTGTTGTTAATGTTTTAAGTACATAAGCAGTTTCAATAACTTTCCTCGTGAAATAATATGAAACATTGCACACTTTTTGAAAAATTACCGAAAAAAGGCGCAAATCAAATAAAAGAGATGTGAGAAAAATGTGTAACAACTCTAAAATGCAGATTTTATTCTGCCACTTGTAAACTGTGCATCCCAGGATGTAAAGTCTACAGCAGGTGGAATTAAATAAACATTTATCGAAAGATGTTGCACATTCTTCAACATCCCTGTGTTTGTTAGCATCGAAATGTTTAATTGCTGTCCTCATTTTTTCGTTGTTGTTTCAAGCCTCTTGAACATTTAAATGCTTATGAGTATTCTATTTCAAAATTGCTAAAGAAAATTCCCTCTCTATTTTTGGTAGGGAGAAATGGTCCCTTTCCCATTTCTCCATCACAGAAACAGATGTAAATGGGATTTCTTTTTTGTTTTTTTTTCAGGTGGAGTCGTTGTCAACCCCATTCCAGTTTGTGTATCCAGGATAAGTATATTATAAAAAAAAAAAAAAAAAAACCCTTCTTAGGAGGTGGATTGATCTAGTAATCCCACAATCCTACGAGCCTCTTCAGGACTTCCCAGACCTACAAAAACCCTGATTTAATGAGTACTTACTCATGGGTGAGAGTTTTGGAGTGGCTGTGGGGATGTGTTGAGTGTTCCAACTACTGGGACGGTGAGAAGGCGAATTCCCTGGGCTTGCTCCTAATTTTGTTCCTAAGTTTGTTAGATCTGCGAAAGGATCGGCATTTAAATTTGGTGTACTGATATTCCGAGGCATCGAAGTTGCCGAACCCCATCCCTGCCCCGAGCCAGCTCCCAAGTCTCCGAACAAATCTATTTGAGGGTCTTTTGCTGGTTGAGATACGAAAGGAGTTGGCTGAAAAAATAAAAAAAGAAATCATGTGGTACAACAAAATAAAGTCCTAGTAGGAATCCTAGTAGGAATCCTTGAGAGACGGTGACAGCTTCTGTTTTATTTTGAGCATAAAGTAGGTAAATGCAATAAATTCCCAAATTCAAAGTGTAGAACAAAGTGGAATGTCTGTTATTTTGGCATATTTTAATACAAAATACAATTAGATACACTTTTAGAAAAATGACATTTTCCGTAAGGCAACACCATTTTCGAGGGAATAAATGACAAAAATGTTTGCACCTACTTCCGTCATCAATCTTTTTTCAAGATGATTGAAATACAAACACTTCCTTTTCTTGCATTCATTTTGAAGTAAAAAGAAAATACATAGGGTGTCCCAAAAGTACTGCCCCTTTTTTCCCAGAGGGCGAAAGAAAGCAGATATCAAAATGCAGTTTGTGTGAGGTTATAGTCCTAGTAATTACCTATAAAACAAGACCAAGTTGAGCTCTGTAGCTTAAAATTTGACCGAGATACAGCATTTTGAAAATGACGTGTCAAGGTGGCGCCTACAGGATTTTCAACATTTTTTACGGACGAACCCCAGGACGAACAGACACGACGCATCTGCAGGTGGTCCTTTAAGATCCGGTGCAATGAACTTTTTGAGATGTCAAGCAACACCTGAAACTTATGCAAGGATAAATGACGGTCTCCTCGAACAACAGCAGCAACGGTGCCGATTAATTCGTCTGTGGTGGAGGTAGACGGTCGGCCCGGTTTCGCGAGATTTTCCGCCGATTCGCGGCCGCCAGAAAAAGATTTAAACCAACGACCAATGCTACTTCTGTCCAAACAGTCGTCTTTATACACGCCTTTCATTTCATTAGAAGTATCTTTTACTGACATTCCTCGACGAAAACAATAACGAATAACGTGGTGTTGTTCTTTTCTTAATTCGGTACTCATCGCGAAAGAAACTTCCAAAACGACAAAGGGATGAACTCTGACTGACGTGACGGGAAAGCTTGACCAACTTGGATGACACTAGCGGACACGTTTATTAATCCTGTCGTTGGTCTGCATAGGGGTGCTTACACGTTGCCAAATGCCGCCTAAAACACAGTGTTGCCATATGTTTCTGGCTGCTTCTTTTTCTTTTTAAAACCGTTTCATTCTTAAACTTGGTTTTTTCTTTCGTAAAAAATGTTGAAAATCCTGTAGGCGCCACCTTGACACGTAATTTTCAAAATGCTGTATCTCAGTCAAATTTTAAGCTACAGAGCTCAACTTGGTCTTGTTTTATAGGTAATTACTAGGACTATAACCTCACACAAACCGCATTTTGATATCTGCATTCTTTCGTCCTCTGCGTAAAAAGGGGCAGTACTTTTGGGACACCCTATGTACAATATAACACCTGACGATACATTTCAGCATCTCTTACTCATGCAAAAATATCTGTCAGCTGGTGGTTGGCTATCTACTATTTTAGCGCTTTGCTGGAAAGGACTAGAAAAGTGTAAAGATTTAACACTTTTTGAGGCTGCATCAACTATGTGTTAAAAGTTTACCCTCCAAGCGTAATTGGACTACATATGCAATTAAGAACTACTATCTTTTACTCGTAATAAAATTTACATACGTTCCATTAGTTTCCTCGTACAAATATATGCCTTTATTTATGAATAAACTGGAAATAGTAGTTCCCTGGAGTAAAATGTAGTTCAATGGAGTGAACCCAGCAGAGATAATCCAACGACCTCAAGTTGAAAGTGAAAAAATGAAATTGGAAGTTTTATTTCATCATAAAACTTCATTAAAAAAACACATTTGCATAATTATTTTTTCAATCTATGAATAAAAATATTTTGTAGCGTACAGTACAACTTGTTACTCTCAACTCAATATTTGCCAAAATGTAGATTGGGCCCTCTTTTTTTTCTTTTCCTTTTTTTTCTCTCTTTTTTTTAACAAAATCAGGTTCAAACTTTTGAAATCAAGAGTTGTATTGAGATTTGAAAAAGTAATTTGGACGAGTAAGAGACCCTCCTTTCCAGTCAGACAAAAAAAAAGTGAAAAATAGGTCCACATACCTGGGGGCCGCAAGCTCCATTGTTACTCAAACTGAAGGGATCAAAAAAGTCTGGATTAGCGGTAGAATTCTGAGAAGCTGGAGTGCTCTGAAAATCAGCCAAGAGATCAATGTTGCTGTGAGCCATTGGTGCTGCTGTACTACTGACATCTTCTCCTGAAATACAAAAATATTTTAATTCTTAATTAACTAGGACATTTTGGATGTACGTTTTACTGCATACAAAATACTTAAAGAATAGACAGTGACAATAAAGAAAACAGACAGTGGCAATGGCCCAATGGCCAGACTAAGCACCATGGAGCACATCATTGTTTCATCAATTCATTAGTGACATAAACGACACATTAAACATTTTCAAATTCAACTCATAGGTAATGATTTCGCATTTCCTATGTTCCTCGGTTCTGACTTGCCTTCGTAGCACTGACATTAGAAAAGCGATTTTCAAAAACTCTTAAAAAAACTACATATTGAACATTTTTCTAAGGAATCCCTTTTGGTTATTTTTGAGGGAAAAGTTATGGGATGGAAGTCTCTGAATATTTCAGGTTATAAAAAACTACGGTAAATCTTCTGTGTGTTTCGTAACATTTTCTTGTGACTTTTCAAATTTTTTTACGTCTTGTAAATTTTACTTACAAAAATACTCAAAAAGGGTTTCAATACGATGAATTTTAACAGTTTTATCAAGGGTTGTTTTTCCAGAACTTACCAGTATTTTATAAGTTTTTTAAAAGCTGTAGCTAATAAAGTACTGCTCGTCAAAAAGTCAAAGTCTATTTTGGAGCTTTAATTAGAATACTAAGAACTGATACTTAAAAGAGTACTGTATTCAACGATTTCGTGTACACAAATCATAGTACTCAATCATTCTTTTAACATTTCTTTGGTTATACGAATCAAATGATTTGTTTCTTTGGTTCCTAAAATACTTTACAGCATGCTTTCACAATAATAAAGGGTATTACAATACAGAAACCAACGGAAAGTCTCACAAAAACTAAACAAAATTCAATATTTTTATTGCTTTCAGACTGTACAATATTTTCGGCTTTGAAGTCCTATAATCCATCAAATTTTTGATCACAGCACTCAGCTGCTGTACTATTCACAGCTTCATATTTATCGAACAGTATAGAATGGGAGGAAAAAAAATTGAAGCGAAGGATCCATGACAAGGGAAATTGTAAGGAATAAACAAAACATGCAAAAATATATTCTTTAAAGCTAACATTACATACTACCATTGAGTTACGAGCCTGTTGCACGGTACTCACCTATATTCAAAAGATCTACTTTGGAGCTAAGATCATTCTTTAAGGAGGAGTCTACATCTACGAGATCAATTCTGTTGCTGGAGTGACTTCTACTATCAGAGGAAATGTTAAGTAAGTCTACTCCACCTTGTTGAGAGTGGTTTGACTGACTCAGGTTCAACAAATCCATTTCAGCTGAGTTTTTGGGAGCCTTCTTTTCTTCGAATTCTTGCACCTGGAAAACAAAAAGTACTGCTTCAGAAATTAACGCAATTTAAGCATCATATTTGAAACAATCAGTTCCTCATGCTGATGAATCAATTAATACTTGATCTTGCCCGTCTGTCTCTTTCAAAAAGTTGAAAGCTACGTACTTTATTGTACGATATGTAACGACTAACTTACTGGCTAACTAACTTTATGATTAACTCTTCAATAGTCAGTAGATTGAGGCCGGTTACCTACAAAGGATTATATGAGGTGGCTTGAGAAGGAGGAAAACAACAGGAATACAAAAACAGAGTTACCAAATTGTAAGAATCCTTACTGCCTTTTTGACTGGTAAATTAGATAAATTTTAAGGATTCCACACCTATTTGAGAAATAGCATCTGTTTTCAAAATTTCATCAAACGAAAGGATTACTACATTCACTCGTAAACTAATCACTTTATAGCATGATACACATGATACTGTGTAATAAGAATACACTTCAGAGAATAAAGTTACCTTTGTTTCAGAATGAGCAGGAGGAGCCGGCCTGGCTGGCGGGCTTGGCCTTGCTGGAGCCACTGATTTCGGGACTGAAACATTTTTGGTGGAGACTCGTTAGTAAATATACTTTTCCAGTTTTTAGTTTCATTTCAGTTATTTTTTCCCCTTAAACTGTAAGAAGCAGTAATTCTGTCCACCAACGACTTGCAAATTTGTTGTTTGAAACGTCAAACCCATTCTAATTCTTGACATTTTCAGGATTTCTCTTACATTTTAAAATTCCCAGACTGAGACAACCCTGTGACTGATAATTTTGGCGAAAATGAGTTAGCAACTTAGCCGCATTGAGGTAAACTGATGTTTTTAGTTTTTTCCAATTTTGCATGGGAGTGCTGTAATGACTCTGGAAAAAAAATTGTAAATCTAACCTTGGAATTACAAAACTAGCAAATTTTCGTCTTTGCCCCGCAAAATCGTCAGTTTGCAGATAGGCGATATTGTTCCTTAGCCATCGACATGCGATCAATACGGTGAGTTAGAGAGGAAAAATTACTGATAAAATAACGTAACAAAAATAAAATGTAGCTTTTAACTTACCAAATGAATTTCTAATTTCTTCTTCCTCTACTTTAGAAGAGAAAAGCAAAGCTGGATTCAAGTTTTTGGAGCTATGATTCATCCAAGGTGTAGGAAACTGGGCATTGACTGCACTCGATCTTTCAACGTTCAAAGTGAGAGAGAATCTGTCGCTTTGGTAATGTTCTCCTTCAGACAACTCATCAAGATCAGACCTAGATGAAAAAAACAAATGCAAATGATCAAACTAAATTCAACCGAGAAATAAAAAGAAAGGAAATCGAGAGAGCTATATTTTCAGCCTCAATTATTTGAAGGGTAACTCACTTTCAATATTAGGGAAGTTACAGAGAGCTTAGAATCCAACACTTTGGCAAAGATTTTCAATGAGCTACGGTGAGTTACAGATGACCTTTCACTTCATTTAAGGGCGAATTTTCCGCATGGGTATTACAATTTAATGTAAAAATTAATAAAGTTAAAAGCAGTTAAAAAATAACTTGTTACAATTTTCACGAATTTTTCATAGCAAGGGCCTTTCGAGCAGGCAGCCCATCGGTTGGATCAGGAGTCACACCGATGGTGGGCCACCTGCGTGACACGCATCTGCTATAAAAATTTTAAAAGTCATCACAAGTTTTTTTTTTTTCTTTTCACTACTTCAAATAGCCCACAAAGGCTAATCCAAGGCTAATAAGGCCTGCGCTTTAGTCCTGTCCCCCCTTCGTTCCTACTGAAGAACTTACTAGTCCCAGGCAACCATTGTTCGAGACCATTAAACTCAGGTCGCCTGGCCGGGAATCAAACCTGGGACCTCCCGATCATAGAGCTAGCGCTACAACCACTACACCACAGGAGGCCGACAAGTGAGTTTTTAACCCTTGTTAAATTTTAAATTAAAAAAATTTTGCTCCGCTGGAATGAAAATTTTGATACTTATCTGCAATGAATTGCAGATAACATCAGTCACACAACTATATAAAAAATCATGAAACTCTTTCCTTTCAAAATAATTTAGGCACACTTTCAAGATGTGCTACTGTATTTCAATGATGGGTAGAAAATTAAAACTCCTGAAATCAAAAAGAGAGATTGCTATGTGGTGATAGCACCCAAGTTTACTCAGTTTCTTTCAGATGTTCCCAAAGGCAAGTTAGCAAAGAAGAGGTTACAAAAAATAGAACTTATAAGAAATAGAATTTTTGTGGGATTTAGAGAACACATTTACCTAGAAGGAAGGAAGTTTATGAATAAACCTGCCTTCAAGAAGAAGAAAAAAAAGTCGGAAAAATGATGTGGCTGGTGCTGATTTCCTCAATTCCGTGACTCACTTGCACCTTTTCTTAACATAGCTAACAAAAAAAAAAAAAAAAAAACTCTTATTAAAAAACTTACTTGTTGAAAATCAAAGTATTCCCAGCTGTGAAGCCTGTATGAAATTGTAGCTGAAGAATTTTGATTCCAGTAACGCGGCCCAGAACATGCCGAGCATGATATATTACAATTGTTACATCTCCAATCACCGTTAAATTTAGCGCCATTGATATCTGTAACAGAGGTTTCTGACTTTTACAATAAAAATCCAAATCAATTGTTTATTTGTGAAGATAAAAGATATACAGAACCACACTTAGCAGTTTTTAAAAGAGGAGACACCAGCTGAATTTCCGCTGATCTTGAAAGTTCGATAACACAATGATTGCCAGCAAAAACTCTAAAACAATTCTTTAAACCACAAATAATTGTACTTTCCTCAACCATCATCTCCACATACAATACGCTGAATTTTGTTGGTTTAGCAAAGTGTTAAATCATTCCTACCCAAAAAAAAAAACATCCATCCTTGACTCTTTAATAAAACATATAACATAATAAGAGAAGGGAAAAATCCACAACTTTTACTTAAAATAAACCAACCTTTCCATGAGTAATGTTGAAAACTGTCATTTTGTCATATTCAGTTTGCGATGTATAGAGTCGTTCATCTTCTTGGTACACCTCAACATATGGCCGGCATCCATCCCTTCAAAATAAATAGAAAACAAAATTAGAAAATTGAACTGAAGCAAATATATTAAATAGAGCCAGTCAATGAGAAACTAAACCGGAGCAATGGAATTGAATAAGGCAAGACCGTTGGATCTAGTTGGATTGGAACTTTCCTTATAATTTATTTATTTATTTTTCCCCCCTTTTTTTATTTTTTGGAGGCACATGTTCTCACAAAGAATAGAGTACATGAAAAAAATGGCAAAACTTTGGAGACAAAAAATGTTCTGCATGCATACTCACTGAAATTGTGAATGGTTACAGATCTGGTGCTAAAATAAGTTCAACCCCAAGGTTTGGGCATAGATTTTTTCGCCAAGTTCATAAAAGGAAAACATTTAAGGGGGGAAAAATTCCGTGTACTGAGGTGAAAAACTTACCTTACTTTGTTGAACAGAGGAACTGGCTGCATGATCAAAGACACAAGCTTAAGGGGTTGCGGATTCGGGACGAAAGGCGAGGGTTTTAAGACATCGTTAAAATAATGAAGATAACGCATTTCTGAGGGTTGTAAATCTGGCGGCATCCTTTTCACGGCAAACATTTGCAATGCATCCGCTGGATTGGAGAACAATCTTAGGAATATGAAGAAAGAGCTTACTAGAAGAGCTGAACTTGCCTTACCATCCTGAAATTCAGATAATAAAAATCTATTTATACAATCTGTTTGTTCCATGAGGCGGAGGCAAAGAATTTTTGCAGGGCTGTAAAATAATTTGTCTGATGTAAGTTTTCATATAAAAACCAAAAAGTTTATAACAGAGTTCAAAAAAGAATTTCTAAAAGGAGAAAAATCGAATCAAAATCGGATGAATCAAAAGCCGACAGTTGAATTGACACAGGGGGGCGATGCCTGAAGCTAAGTTTAGCCATTCAGCTAACGTCAGTTCCCTCTCCAGACTGTGTCATCAGAGCCCTCTAAGAATATTGTTTCAATTGAGTCCCATTTTTGGCATTTTTAAAATGGTTTTTTATTTTACCATTTAAGGGTAATACAGTTATACACTACGTTAATACGTGAACACGTTTTTTTAATCCAAACTTTTGGAAGCAGAAGCAGAGCATGCAAATGGATGTGCCACAGAATGTATGAGAGCATGTAAAATCCTAAAATTCCTGCACATCCGATCTTTTCTCTTCCATTTTATTTTTTCTTTTCCATCACCATCCTTCATCCTGGATACAAACCGCATGATAATATCCTAGCTTCTGAATTGTTGAGAGCAAATTTTTTCTCGACCACCTTCAAAGTCATAGGCCGACAAACGAAAAAGTAAAAGTGGTCTTTTGATAAGAAATAAAGAGAGGATAACACACTTACCAAGCAATGTACTATGCAGACATTTTTAGGGTCCTTTTCTAAAAATGTGTACATGTCTTGACAAATATTGTAAAGGGAATGTAGAGGGGGAGATCGTTTGATTGTCGCATTCCAGCTGCAATCAATAATCTAAAAACAAAATGAGACCAAGAGGAGAAATTATACTTGCGCTAGAATAGTTTTTGTTACAACAAGCAGCAGTGATTAACAGAAGAAGTTCAAAAGACCGGTAATTCTTTAATTAATAACAAATGTCCTTATACAGGGAGAGTACTCTACTTCTGGAAAAATCATTTTATAGGGAAACAAAAACTGAAATTTGAATAATTGGATATTGCTGCAAGCAGTAAAAAAAATTACGCCTTTTTTTTAAAAAACTTTTTCTGTTCCATAAACATTGATAAACGTGAGATTTAGGGATGATAATTTTTTCCCTCTTTTTTGACGGGATAATATCAACGAAGCAACAAGCCAAGGTTGAAAATTAGAAAACGGACAAAGGGGTTTTGTGATAATTTTAGCGTTTACAATATTGAACTGCTAACCTCCACCATTAATAAGTCATTTCCTGTGCAAAAAAATTCCCTTTCAGATACATTCCTAAAAGTATAAGTATCCAAAATATGCAACAAACACTTACCCTTCCTCTACCTAGCCTGTTGACCGGGTAAACTCTGCCAGAGACATTATAAACACAGTAATGGACCATTTCATGCTTGGCTTCTAGGAGTGCTCTCACATCATCTGCATGATTACTTTTGGTTGTGAGCTCCAGCCCTTCAGCAGGATAAGGCATGACAGCTAATCTTGAAGTGAGGTAGTTGATGTCAACTCCACTTCTAGCCATACTCCTGGTGAATTGAAAAAGAATTAGCTCATTGTGATCTGAATAAATTTGTGTAACTGTGAAGATAGAAGAGTGATGAAGGAGAAAAAATAAATTTTGGGGTGTTTTCGAAAGACAGACTGCATTAACATTGTTTTGATTTGTGTCTTCATACTGTCACCCTATGATTATTACTTTAAGTTTAATCAATAACAAAAACAACAAAAATAATACAAAGAACAAGAAATTCAATCAGATAATTAGATATATGTGATTTAAAAAAAACATTAAATCTGTCGGTAAAATTGGTAGTTAGTTTGGAAAAAATAATTAAAACATAAGAAACAACAGAGAAAAGATTAGTGTTTAGAAGAGTAGGAAAGCATGATTTATACACTAATGGGCCTGTTGCATGCAAGAGATACAGCCGCGCGAATAGACTTTTTAGAGGTTAAATGACACGAAAATTACGATGGTAACATTAAAAAAGTCTGAAATATACTCCTTACTGCGCAATTTGCGTTGTTAGGAACGCGCTTTTTTAAATTTCCCGCGTCTGGGGGCAGTTTTCTAATCACCGGAAACAAGCAAACGGCGGGCTCGGTGATTTCCGGAAGATGCCGAGTCGTTGTTGTTGTTATTTTTTCCTTCAGTTTGTTTACGAACCCAACGTGATCTCCTATAGTGGTCCATATACGCTTTATGCGGTATCAAATCGATCAACTTTTAAATATCCAACGCAATCCTTCTACATTTCATTTCACGATGTCACGAGCTCTGATTTTTAGGTTATGTTGTCAGTTTTAGTTGACCGGAAATAGCCGCGAGTTGCCGTTAATTGTTTCCGTTAGAAAACTGCCCCCAGACGCGGGAAATTTGAAAAAACGCGTTCCTAACAACACAAATTGCGCAGTAAGGAGTGTATTTCAGACTTTTTTAATGTGACCATCGTAATTTTCGTGTCATTTAACATCTTAAAAGTCTATTCGTACGGCTATATCTCTTGCATGCAACAGGCCCATTAGAATTAAGTTTGTCAATTTCAGACAAAAATATTAGACTCGAATTTAGGCGAGATCGATTTTATGACATTGTTATGGTAACCGTTTTCATTACACTATTATTTGATTCCTATTGCATTCCTAATTTTTGATGTGGAGTTAATGTATTCAATTATTTATTTTTTCTTTGTAGGGCTGCGTTGCCACAGAAAGCTACTGCTGCTTCTTAATTGCAAGTTTGAAAAAAATTAATGGGGTGCTTCAACTTATTTTGGCGCCACAATGGCCAGTCCCCCAATCTTAAGACGTTAAAGTCCGATTTTTGGGCACATTTGGCGCATGGCACCCTGGGAAGGCAGGACACTGCTACCAGAAGCTATTGAATATTATGGGTAAGGAATAGTATGAGAAAAATTATAGAGTACTTACTGGTGAACGCTTTGAACAACTTTGCTACTGGTATCTTTCAGATTTTTGAAGAAACTTCCTGCACCTCCGCGGATAGAGGAAAACAGACTGCCTCCTTCGCTCGGAACAGAAGGGTGATTGGAAGGATAAGCATTGGGAAATGAGTGAGGAATGTTTGTCGAAGGTGGTGCTCTGAAAAGATAAAATCATTTGTTCAGTTCTGATTGAAGCTTCAGGTTACTACAGATTCCCTTTGGTAAAGAGTTGAGGTAAAATGCCAATTTGTTTCTTTTCATTTCTACTGAATGTTTTGACTTTCATTTAATTGTTTACTAATTATGATAACTTCAATTGAGGTTTAAATTTTCCAAAACATTTTCCAAAGTGGTTAAGAAAACTTGAGAGAAATAGAATGATTGGCCAGTGGAAAAAATTCCAGTCTTCTTCATAAAATTCTACGAAAGGTTCATGTTCCCTCTACCATATTTGCTCCTAACTTTCCTCAAGTTTACACATTTATTGACAGTGAAACTGCAAAAATGTGTATCTCGGTTTTAGTGTTTCAAAATTTCCGCTCCTAAAAAGAGACTAAATCAACATCATAACTTGAAATTTTTTCAGGGTATTCTTTGCACAGAGAAGAAAAATCACTAATATTTAAAAAAAAAAGGACGATACCTAAGTAGTTACCCAAGTAAAAAACAAAGTATGATAGAAAGTCTGCAATGTCGTAAATTGAGCTAAGCATATCTGCAATTTCACCATTGTTATGTTTTCTAGCTATTCATTTGGACATCTGTGAAAAAACAGGGCAAATCCCTGCTTTTAATTTTGCATGGACGCAGAGAGACCGAGATATCTCTTTGTAGGGTTAACTTCAAGAGAGAGAGATGGTTTTTTTTTTCAATGAGAAAAGTGAAGTTTAGTGAAGAATTCTTAAACATAAATGAGGAGTCTAGGAATGAAAGATAGTTTTTAGACTTACTGATTACTAAGAGGAGGCGGAGGCCTTGAAACAGGCGGTGGAGGTCTTGGAAGTGGCTCTCTACTAGGTCGAGATGGACTGCTAGGAGGATTTGTGTTCATTCCTGTACCTTAAAGAAAAAAACAAAATAAGCAATGAACATTTCAATTTTGGAAAAAAGGCTACAATAGGTACCTGCAGATAACCTACATAGGCGAATATCCTGCACCCTGATCATTGTTCACAGAAAAGTCCATTTAATAGTTGTAAAAAGCACTTTTGAGGAGAGAAAAAGCTGATTAAAATCTAACCAACCAGAAGTCGACAGTTAGAATGATGCAACTGGGCTATGACTTTGGCTGCACTTCAGCCTAGCGGCAAATGAGGACTCTCTTGCCTGCTTCCTTCATAAAAACCCACTAAAAATGATGTTTCAAGTGGGTCCAGATTATGGCATCTTCTAACTTGACATTCTCTGTGATTTTGAGTCAAAGAAATAAAAAAGAAAATTACCTGGAGCTCAACTCGCTCAAAAATTTAAGAAAATTAATTAAAAAGAATAGGCACCACTGACCCACTTCTTATGACTTCTTACTGATGGAACAATTATCTCCAATGAATATCAGTTTTAAAAATTGAATATATGCGTGAAGAAACAAAACATTCAAACGAACCGTTACCTAGTTTGCCGTTAGCATCAAGTCGCTTGCCTTCCAGCTTAAGTGGTTCTTTTAGTTTGACGTTTCTGCATTCAGCAATTGCAACTACTCTTTCAAGCAGTTCAGAAATCTTCAGTCTTTTCAGTGGGTCGACCTCTAGACAGCCTTCTACAAATCAGAGTTGTAAAAAAAAATCATGAATTTTTTCAGTCATAAAGGTACACATTTTAAAAAATTCAGTAATTTACATGCTAAGATGTGTTCTTCTGGAGCTTTCAGAAACTTGTACATTGATACTTAATAAAACGAGAAAAACAAGTTCTTTCATTGAGATTTTTCAAAATTACAACTTGTATTTTATATTTCAGGAAAACATTAGCTGCAATTTTTTTAAAATTCTCCTTAACAGAAACGAAAAAGAATAGAAAAACACCTTAGGCATTGAATTGTGCAAAAATCAAAGCAGTTACTGTAGTTTATGCTTACTGCCTTGAGAATTCATAACAGTCTGGTCTCACTAGAGCTCACAGGAAGTAGGACCCAGCCTATACAATGACTGGACCTCTAAGAAATTTAAAAGTAAAGAGGCCTATGTTTATGATTCGGAGAGAGAACCGGAAGGCTAGTTTCAGGCTTGTTGGCCATTCCCGGAGCTGAGTTTCTTCCTTCAAATCATAGATAAAAGCCCCCACCAGACCATCAAATTAACACATGCCTATCACTGTAGGAACCTGGCAAAAAACTTGCCGACAGCTGTAGGTTTAAAAATGCTACTTACTTATGAGAGGTTTGAAATCTGCATACTTTGCATCACCCGGGGGAATTGTGTAATTTGCGTTCAGAATCCTAAGCTTTGCTGAATCTTCAAATGGATGTTTCATATAGCATAAAGTGAACAGAAGACATCCTAGGGCCCAAATATCGCTCGGCGGACCGATCATGCCATTATTCCATGTGTCAACCATTTCAGGAGCTCGGTACATTGGAGTTGTACACTGTGCAATCTAAAACAACCCTCAAGTTGAAGTAGAAATAGAGAAATACAAAGTTGGGACCATAGAATCAAGCTCCAGCGATAAAGCAAGTTTGAAGCTCAAAACATTATGGTTTCCTATTCAATTAACATGCGTGTTATATTTAAATATTTCCACCCTTATAACTGCCATGGTGCCATGATGCGCTTCCATTTCCTGTTTTCAGCGGCAACTCACAAGGTTAACTATCCTAAAGTTAAAGGTAAAAGTCACGTAAATTAAGTGATAAAGTTGTCGAGAATCTTCACACCGGACTTGCAATTCTTTCACCTAGTCATGACAGCATGACTACTTTTTGACTACAGCACTGATAAAAAAAAAGAAAAATCTTCTTAAATTCTAAACGTTTTCCTGATAGCAGTGCTTTTCTTATTTTCAACTGATAATAAAGACAGTGAATCCATTGATAATGCAATCATTGACATAAAATACTAGAATTTTGAGATAGGAATTTGAAAGGGGGGGAAAGTGCGTTTCACTTTTTTGGGAAAAATGGATAAAAAACAATGGTTAAAAACATTGTTCATGGAATTTATTTCAAATAAAATTCCAAGATGTAATCTTAAAACTGATCATGTTCAAAAGCTGAGATATCCACCTCTTTGGTATACAACCTAAAGGAATTGGAGGTACTTTTAACACAAAACGGGCGGGCTGATTAAAAGTTGTGAAGCGATTTTCGATACCTAGGGAAAAAAGCAAAAAATGCTGTTGCAATTATTTGTCATTTGAACCATTAAATGACTAGACTGAAGAAAAGAATTTGAAGTTTTAAATTACCTGATCTTCCAACATGGCTCTTTGCTGAGCTGACCAACTATCATTTGGCTGAAAAACTTGGGTTGTCGCACTTCCAAAATCACACAGTTTGAGTTTTCCATCAGAACTAAGCAGCAGGTTTTCTATCTGAATTTTGAAAGAATATGTATGCATAGAATAATAACATTAAAAAAAGGATGACAGGATACAGCATTCTTTTCTCCAGTTATTTCCAATAACCTAATTTTCATCTAAGTTTTGCAGAATAGTACAATAAAATTTCTAAGTTTTTTGACCGGAGAATTTGAAAATGACTTGTTAGAAAGATTCTATATTTTCTGACCCAATAATCGAAAGAATAGCAAAGAATCTAAAATGATGTTTAAAATTGTACAAAGCGAAGGAGGAAACCCTGACCAAAAAAGGTTCCCCAAAGAGTTTTCAAATTAACGGGAGATCACGGATCCCTAATTTTCTGCAAGTCTGTAGATAACTTCCATGAGGTCTTAATGACTAAGACAAAGTGATAACTACAGCTTCAAAGGGCATAATTCTGAAAAATCTACAAGAAATTTTTCTGTCAACAGTGTTTGAAAGACTCTTTTTCTTTCTTTCTTTTTTTTGGACAAAAGAGTAAATATTTCACAGTAGAATGCTTGATAAAATAAAGATGATGATCCTATAAGAGTGGAATCTCACCTTTAGGTCGCGATGAATGATTGGTGGAGATTGCGAATGCATATGATGAACAGCTTGGCAAATTTGCCAAAAAATACGACATACAATATCTGGTGGTAACGGAGAGCTTAAATTTGAAAGGACATCCACCAAACTGCCACCTGGAAAAAAGTTGAAGATAAAATTTGAAAGGGTACAGAAAATTCTTTCCTTCTATGCAAGATATTTTTTGTCACACAGAGTGCACAAAAAAGTAGCAAATTTTTTTTTATTCTTTTGAATCCTGAAGATAAAAACTTATTCCACCGATCTTGAAAAATAATTTAAAATTCATAGAAGCTTTAATGTTCCTACAATGGGCCTGTTGCAAACATTTTCTAGAGCAAAACTAAGAGTTGTCTCTTAAAAATAATGTCTCAAAAATCACGATGAGCGCATCGGCAAAGTCTGAAATGCACTCATAACTTCACAATTTGCGTAAGAAATTTGCGGTTTTTTAAGCTTCCCACTTCTAAAACAGTACTTCGGCACAGGTGAACATTTTGTTAGAGGAGTCGTCCCACCGTCACCAATATTCATCATGGCCAAAGGCAATTCACCAAACGGATAATGGGACGAGATAACACCTGACCAGGATAAGACCAGATAACAATCTGCGTGTTTACATTCATATTTTCCTCGCCCGCCTTGATTAACCTTGAACTCTCCTCGAATTACGCACGGAACTGTGGAAGCGTCGGCTATGATAAATATTGCCGACGACAGAAAGACTCCTCTAACAAAATGTTCACCTGTGCCGTGGTATTGTTTTTGAAGCGGGAAGCTAAAAAAACACAAATTTCTTGCGCAGATTGTGAAGTTATGGGTGCATTTCAGACATTGTCGATGCGCTCATCGCGATTTTTGAGGCATTATCTATAGGTAACAACTCTTATTTTTGCTCTGGCAAAAGTTTGCAACAGGCCCATTTCTAATTTCAAGAGGCTGCATACTATGCATTGCAGAGGTATTATCAGTTGTCATTTATTTGAGATGTCTCACATTCTTGTGAATCAAATGATTTTGAGAATAAATTATTAGTCGTTTCTCGACATTCCCTATCTTGAACAAGTATGTTTTGGACTTTCATCATCCCTGCAATAACAGACACATCATTCAGAAGATTCTGGTACATGTTTTTCATTTTAAAAAATACTTAAGAAAAATTATTGCTTTGGACAAGGAAGGCCATTTTTCCTGGGTTTAGGATTTAGAGGGTCAAATTAATGTTTGTTGCTTCTTAAAAAAGGGGGTTCTTTTTATTCGTTTGTATACAATTTTCATTAGAATTCAAAAATTTTTCAACTAAACAAGTTCTTCTAATTTTGTGTTCCTTTAAAAAAATAGTGCATTTTCAGACTGTTGATTTATACCTAGTGTATAATTCCCCCCCTTTTTTTTCTGGTAAATAAATCTAATTTATTTATGAACTTTGGGTCACTGAGAGTCTAATGAAGTGGACTTACCGACACAAAGTTCTGTTAAAAGTAAGAACTCTGTCATTCCATGACCTGAGGAGTTCTTGTCAATAGTTGCTACAGACATAAATTGAATTAAATTCGGGTGACCAGATAGTTTTTTCAAGATATTCACTTCTTGAATTACTTTTTTGCATGTTTCTTCATCTGCTGCCATCAAACGCTTCAATGCATACTCTTTACCCGTATCTAATGCTTGAGCCACAAATACAAATGCAAATCCTCCTAAAAAACATTGACACAATTTAAATATTTAGATAAACATTAGAATGCCAGGTCACACTATGAAAATACACATAAAGTCTTCGACACTCCAGAAATCATGCCCCTAAAATTAGCCAGAAAAAAGGGAAAGTTCACTCATTAAACTCTGAAATAAATTGTTGATCTTGTGGCGAGTCACTCCTCGATATGCTGAAGTTTGCCTTGATAACAGATCTGACTCATTGCTGTGTTGGGGGTGTTTTTCTCCTCTTCAATCTCCTCTTCAACTGATTGAAGTTAGGGGTGTAATTTTTTTCTGAAATTCTTGTGTTTACATTGGTATTTTAAGAGCCCTTACTACAATTCAAGCTGTTTTCTACTGTATGGTCTTGAGTTACTTTGTTTGAGTCAGCAGTACAAAGAGATTCTTCAACCCTGAGCAAGCAGAATGGATCTGACAAGCAGTGGGATTGTGCCAGTACTTAGTTGAACTTGCTAGATTATCACCCTATTCATCCCCCATTCAAGTGAATTTAAAGGGAGACAAGTTCTGCTTCGGATATTGGGTAATCGCAATAAGACACCATAGTGTTGGTCAGAGGTAAATCTGCCAAATATCAGGATATGAGCACTTTGAAATGAAAGGTTATGTTGGGTTATCATAGCACAACTCTTGTCTGGAATGGAGAGCGAAGCCTTGAATTTGGCTCTCCGCTGAGGTCATCTTCAACGAAGACTACACTTTCAATAAGAACTGCTTCACACATAAGCAGTTAACCAAAAAATAAAGCTGATAATACTGATGAAAACAAATTAGTATTTATTGTCGAACGGGAAAAGGCTCAAGACTCCTGAAAAAAAGTGAAAACTAGCTAGAGAGGAATGAAGCAATACTAACCTTCAGCAATCAGTCTTTTAACACGAAGCTTTACATTTCCAATTTCAACAATTTGTCCCACAAAATCATTTTCTTGCCCTGAATTATTGCTGCTAAAATAGCCGAACGCTGATTTAAATAAATCTGACATTTTGTTAGGAGACTAGAGAAAAATAATTTTAAAAAAATAAAGGCTATTTATAATCTACCACCCACCATCACATACTAAGCACGACACTACAGCACTACACCCACACGAAAGCTCGAAAAAGCAGGACGATTTCAGTATCTGCAGGATCAACAAGGACAAAACCTGGATGAAACTTTGAGAAAAGCTCGAGCGCAGCAGCGCCAATGCAAAAGTTTCGGGAATTCAATATTTACCAAAATCTGAGATAAGGTGACGCAAGGATAGCACATACGATGACGTAAGCTGAAGACACGATGAAGTACCCACCCCGCTTCTACTTCTTTTAAAAAATCAAAAACATTTTAGGTTATGTCGTATTGTTTATGTTTTTTTCTGGTTTTTTCCCCGAAAGATATGTCTATGTTTTTCAAGTGATTAAAGTGATTTCAAAAATAATTTTGCAAGTTTTTTGGAGGAAAGTACTTTCTTGGTCAATATTTTATTGAAAAAGACTCCTGTATCGAAGGATTAATGTCCATGTGTGAAATAATTAATTTCAGTGATCAGTGCACATCCAACTGAATAACTCTCCATCTTCCGCAAAGCTTATTTTTTTCTCCTATATCTCTTGCCTAGAACATGGATGCTCCTAAGATTGAAGAAGCGAAAGATCAAGTTTTCAAGAAGCCAGTTTTATTTGGTCCTAGACCTGGTAAAGGAAAAGCTCCTGTCAAAGCGCCTCAGAAAAGCTCAGATGAGGATGTTGAAGTTGACAACGACACCAAGCAACCTGTTGCTCCGCAGCCTGTCCAGCAAGTTGTCACTAATGAGACAGACAAACCAAGATCGAAATCTACAGTTATGGCAAAAATTCCATACAAAGAACCATCCTGGGGGGGCATGCCTCCGCAAGAGTATTTTCTAGAGGTAAGGATACGCTAGGATACATAATGAAGGAGCTATCATTTCCCCCTTTGAGTTATAGTCCCTTTTCGCTTATTTAGGTCAGTTGAAATGAAGAGACCAATTTTTCAATACCTGACTATTCTTGAAGTACATATGTCTCTGTGTATGAGGATTGTCTTACCTACTCAGTAATTCCATTCTTGGTAAACGTCTATGAGATTGTCGCGAGAGCTGATCTATAAATTTTTCTAAAACAATTTGAATTTGCAGGGTGACGTTTTTTTCCTTTTAGGTGCTGCACTACTGAACACCACTCTTTACAATAATGGCAGCTGTCAAGTCTTGGCAAATACTTGTGTCATACAAATCCTCGACTATCCAAGTACTTAAATTTTTTCTGAATGAACAGTTAAATTTTCTTCATATCTATGTTCTTTGTTTTTTATAGGAACTGAAATCAGGTGTAATCGTCCGAACTATACCTCTGCATACCCGATCATTTCACTGCTTTGGTAGATTGGACGGTTGTCATGTATCAATGGCACATCCAACAATATCAAGATATCATGCAGTACTACAATATCGCTCAACATTCTCTGCCGATGATGAGTCACGCGGTTTTTATTTATTTGATCTAGGAAGCACGCATGGCACATTTTTGAACAAGAATCGTTTAAAACCAGAATCTTTCACGAGAGTCCAGGTAAATCAGTGTTTAGCACTGCCTTGCAAAACAAGAATGCTGTACTCCATCCTAGATTTTACAGTGTTTTCTTTGACAAAATTCTGGAGCACTGGAATGCCCAATTACTTTTGTGTTTTATTTTTTCAGTATAAGTTTCCAATTGTATTGCATAGACATTTTGAAAACGCAGAGAATAAGCAATTGCCGGTTATCTTTCAACATCTGAATATTTTGTCAGTAATAAAATTTAAAGACATAGAATGGAGTGATGGCGCTTTTGTTGAGGACAGCAAAGTAATTCTGTTCAAAAATATTTGTAATCATTGTCACATTTGTTTTATCTGGAAAGAAGACAAAATCCTCCATCAAACATTCTTATCCAAAATTTTAAAAAAAATATGCACCGTCTGTCCCATCAAAATATGTTGGAGAAGTGAGAAGAATATAAAAAAAACATGATAAGTTCCACAAATGAGCCTCTGAAATCAATACGCTTTTCCACTTTCACAATGTATAAGAATGAAACTTAAAAAAACATTAGCCTCCTCTATTTGTAGGGCCATAAGTTAAATTGGAATTGAGAAGACATAATGGTTGGAAGAGCAGAGATTGAGAAACTTCCGGATCACGCAATCATGATCATGAGGCTGTCAGCATGAAAAAATGGGAAAGCTGTGAAAATTTGGAAGGCAAGTTTGCAACAGCTCTAAAATTGCATGTTTCCGTGCAAATTTCTGACCTGGTTTTTTTCGTAGAACATTGAAAATTGGTGGGTTCTTGCAAAATCGCAGCTATTTGTAAATAAAGGACAGGGAAAAGATCATCGCTTTGAAAATTTTTGGAGAAGGTTCTTAAAATGTTTTTTAATCCTCTGTGAAAAAAAGAATATGAGAGAAAATTAGGTAATGTGGAATGCAGTTCAACAGATTTTGGTTCAATGCTCGTATCAAGTTTCCTTTTATTCTTGGCGTTTCTTGTGTAAATTATGTAGATTCTATTTGTTTCTCAGGTAGGGCATATGATAAAATTAGGGTGCAGCACTCGAATGTTCATTTTACAAGGACCTGAAGAAGATCAAGAGGAAGAGAGTGAATTGAGTATCACTGAAATGAAAGAAAAGAGGAGACTGGAAAAACTGGAGGAGGAGCAAAGGAAAGAAGAAGAAGAGAGAAAGAAAGCAGAAGAGGGCATTAATTGGGGAATGGGTGAGTGAGAATTTTTATCAATGTGCACATGGATTATCAATGAAAATGAATGGGTATTTCGATTAAAATTGTAGTAAAAGTGGACTGCGTTAAACAGAAAGGAACCAAGCCACATCAGCTATTGCCAAATTTAACAGGGAAATTTTATTTTTTACAAGAGAACGTACGTGCAGATTCCTTTGAAAATTTTAAGGAATTTGCTTTTTATTATGGAGAAAATTCACTGAATTTTGCACAAAATTTCGCTCAACCGTTTTTATGTAAAAAATTAAATTGCCCGATCAAATTTGGCAATAGCTCATGTGGCTTGGTTCCTTTCTGTTTAACGCGGTCCAAGTAATCCCAGACCATAATTAGTTCCAACTAAAAATCGCAATTTTTTTAAAAAAACTCTTATTCTTCAACATATTCTCTTTCAAACCGGGCGCACGTCTCTAAATATCATTACATGTACTTTCATGTAATTTTAAGAAAGATTTAAAGGAATTAGAGTTTTTTTTAAAAAAAATTGCGACACTTTTTACTTATACATAATTTCTCGTTTATTAAGAAGTCCTCTTTAATCTTACCATAACTGGTATTTAAATTGTAGCATTTGAATCCTTCCACCCCCCCCCCCAAAAAAAAAATTAATGGAGCCACTGAGAAATATTTTTTCATAAATTGGAGTAAAATTGAAAAGCTAGTGTAAAATATGTATAAGTAAGAAGGGAGGAAACACGATTAGTTAAACGATTTGATTTTTTATGGGAAAACATATATTTTTACAAGCATTAAATTAAGACGTTGTATCCGGATGTGTCTCAGCGGTTTGCCGCCCGGCCATCATCAGTGACTGCACTTCAGATCAAGTCTTGCTGCTATGTTAGCAAGCGGCGAAAATGCATCTGGATACATAGTCATGTTTGACTGTATTTGAGGGCATATTTTTTTAAAAGAATTTTAATCACCTGAATTGAGAAGCTTTTCAAACCTGCTCTCCATTATTTCTAGGTATTGGTTATTTCTAGGCATCGTTTCTATTATTAAATCTGTGTAATTATATCTGAAGTTCTCTGTTTCAAAGGCTATTGGTGGCAAAATGTTAACGTCCGATGCGCTGAGGGTTGATTCTCCTTCTTTCTTTTCTTCAAATAAATTCTAGTTGATGTTTTTGGGTTCATTAAAAAGGCGGTCCAAGACTTACCGTGGCAAATTCTTCCTTTTCAGATGATGATGCTGAGGAAGAGACAGATCTGACCGAAAATCCATACGCAGTAACAACAAATGAAGAATTGTACATTGATGATCCCAAGAAAACTTTAAGAGGTTGGTTTGAACGAGAAGGAGAGGAATTGAACTATGAATGCGAAGAAAAAGGATTCGGGCATTTTGTGTGCCGTGTAGAGTAAGTACCAATGTCATATTCCTTAATGTTCAATTTTAAGTTAATACCACTGCACAGTGAAAATTTATCTAGATCCAGATTTTCCAATAGAAAGTAAAAAAAAAATTGTCTGCTGTCCTACAATATTCTTTCTGCGGTAACTTATGTCAAATGAGAGGAAGAAAAGTTGTGAGCTGAGGGTGAAACAAAGAGTGCTCGCTAGAACTACCTTTAAATCCATTCAATTCGAAAGGTATCCAGGAGTTTTAACATTCCCGTAGATGGATTGATCGTTTCAAGTACAAGAGGATGACTGTTTCTGCTTTCTAATGCCGAGTCCTTCATTTGTAACAATGTATCGGCAAAGAAAACCACATATCTGTGTACATAGTACCTGCACAGTATAGTTTGAATATAATATTTATATGTGTATGGTATGCATTTCATGCGAAAATGTTTGGTCCTTTTTTTGGAAGCGGTAATTTTTTCACTTTTAAATAATTTGATTTTTTGGTTTCAACATTAGTTTATAGTATCGATGAACTCTTATTGTGTAAACGATTTTTTTTTTCAGATTACCAATTGACAGTAGTACAGGTCAGCCTCATGTTGCCGAGGCAAATGTAAAAGGAAAGAAAAAAGAGGCTGTGGTTCAGTGTGCGTTAGAAGCTTGTAGGATTTTAGACAGACTTGGACTCCTAAGGCAAAGTTCCCATGGTAAAGTCATTGATTCATGTATTATCTTGTTACCTCACTTTTTCAACTTTTCTCTCAATTACGAGAGTCGTCCAGAAAGTAAGTTTACCTATTCAATATCTCTTAAACTAAAATAGATAAAGAAAATCTGTGTAAATCGGTGAAAAGCCACTACTGCCAGCTATCTAACAGGCTATAGATTTTTAAATTTGAATTAAGGGAACTCTATAAAAGATTATTTTGAACGCATCTCCTCAAAATCGTTTCGAGGACAGCCCTAACAGTAGCCTATTTGCCTATTAGCGCTCCGTGAAATTTTGGACCCGTGCGGAGAGGAGGTGGGTTCAGAAAAATTCACTTTTCTAGATTCTCATTAAACCAAATTTAAAAATCTATAACGCATTAAAAAGCTGAAAATAGTGGATTTTTACCGCTCTTTACAAACTCTCTTTATCTATTTTAGTTTAGGAAATATTTAATAGGTAAACTTACTTTCTGGGCGACCATCGTATTATCAGTCAGCTCATTCATATTTTTGAATCTTTAAGTATACCCAATAATTTATAATAGACACTCCGTAACATAAGTCTCATTTAGTAATGGGCTCTGACTGTTGGAAAGTTATTGAAAATTTCAATTTTAGTTGACGAGTCCAAAATAAGTCCCTTCCATAAGCACTTCTAATAGATCATTCAATTAGAGCCAGCGCTAAGAAGCTACTGCATTGACTATGCGCAAAGAAACACTGATCAAAAAAATGTGTAACTAAGGAATAGTTTGAAGGCCTTCCACGATGTTTTTGGGACTTCCGATCTAGTTTAAGAAGAAACAATTGATAACAAATGACACATCGGATGTTAATTCTCCCACACAGAATGGTGGTTTTTTAAATGTATCAATGTACTTTTTTCCTCTTTATTTAACTCAGTTTATAAAACTCATCGATGTAGTGGCTACTCAATTCAATTCATCAACGGTAAAAGGTTACAATTATGTTCCCTCATCAGATTGAAAAGCGTAGTAGAATCAAATTAAATCTTTCGAACAAAAATTTGTTCATAATTATTTTCCTCTTAGTCACACTATCAATTCAATACTGTATCATAGGTGGCGGTAGCTATCTCCAGACAAATTCTAATATAAATCACTGTTGTCAAATATTTAATTGTTTTATCTCTAGAAGTTTCAACAACTTTATAAAAAGGTCAGCTTAATCCACCGAATGCGTTTTTTGCTGTACTCAGGTAGCAGTGTTTTTCTAATGTACTCAATGGCATCTGAACAAACGAAGCTAAGAAAAAATACTTCTTTACCGTTTTCCACCAAGTGAGATACCCCAGTAGGTGCTGTTTTTTGATCGCTTTATTGTCCAGAAATTGATCTTAGCCTAAGGTTTGGTTAAGACAGAGAAGCATTTTCGGCAAACTGTTACAAATTGCAGACAATTGACTTTTAACCAGCAATCGGCTAAATCTAATCAGCTCGTTTGAACGAAGCCAAAAATTGATATCAATTCACTCAATGAAATTCTTTTCTTTTCTACCCCAACAGAGAGTAAGCAAAGAAAGCAGAAAGACTGGGAGGCTGACGATTATTATGATAGTGACGAAGACAGCTTTTTCGACAGGACTGGAGAACTTGAAACAAAACGACAGCAAAGAATGAAGCAAATGGGCAAAGTGGAAGAAACCATTGAAACCTATGAGACCTTGGTAAAGACACAATAATTTCCTTTTTTTCTCGCTTGTTTTTTTCCAACATGGAAATTTTACTCTTGTGAGTTTTTGGACTTGCACCTATTTTCTTTTGGATTTTTATTTTATTTTTACATTTTGTACATGGAGCCTACAATTTTTGTGGGCTAAAAATATACGTCATTATATAATTTCTTAGCAGATCTTACTGACTAATTGGTTTACAATTTGCTTTTTCACTAAGTTCTTTCAGGGAATAGTATGGGTTCACCTTCAGATATTCTTTTAATTCTTTTACAAAATGAATAGTAGGGTTATTATTTTTGATCAAATCTCTCAAGCATTCTGGCAATTCATTATACAGGTTTTTGGCTCTGCAGCTTAGAGAATCCTTACTGGATTCTCCAAGGCTCTCTCTCTGTACGAACTTATGTCTTGTGGCGTAGTTATGAGTAGGATTGGTGTTCACAGTATTTATTAATCCAAGATGATTTTAAGTCTTTGAAAAGTATCTAGTGTGTGAGCGGCTTCTTTTTCAATCATTAACATTATTATAACCCTGTTCTTAGTGAATTTATTCAGAATTTTAACATTTTGTACTCTCAAGCTTGTGTAGCGCCAAATGTTCCACACCAAACATGGACGCATTCAGTACAAGAGGAACTGTATCGATTAAGACATGGGCCATGTCATGCATGATTCTTATGGATCTCAGGACTTGTGTCAGCATGAATGTAGTTCCTTTTGATTTAAATGTGTCCATGTCGCAGGCAAATAGTGAAATCAGGCATTTTGTCAAATGCCTAGGCAGATAGTTAAATTTTGACGGTTTACACAATTTTGTGAATTTATGGCAAGAAGCTCGCGAGTTTTCAATATTTTTTAGGAAAATAACTCATCAAACCTACGAACTCTTTTTGCCTCTTCAATTCCTTCTCATATTTTTATATGTTCACTTTATAAAAATTCTGTATTTTATGGCATGCTGAAAATTTCAAGATGAGTGTCTGTTCAGGAGCTAAAAATCGTTTAAAATACTATTAAGATAAGATAAAGATAAAAATTTATTATGCTCCTTTTTACAGTATAACAAGGTTATTTAATAAGTGCAAACAAAAGAAAAGTAACATAATAAAACCACCCACTATGGTTGAACCCTGTGTCGGGTGGGGTGTGTATTATGTGATGCAAATTTTTACCGAGAATTGTTTCTTACAGGAGCAATTAATTATGTCGTCTAAAATTAGGAAAAGAACCAGCATTATAATCTAAGTTAGTACATTTTACTATTTGTCTAGGCATTTGACAAAATGCCTGATTTTACTATTTGCCTGCGACATCCATATGATACCCATAATGCTCTGACAGCCTTATGGCTGATTAGTGTCAAACATGCTCTCGCAGCTGCAGCACTGCCAATCCCCCGCCCAACTTGTGTAATTGCATATTTAGACCAGGCGTGGTTTTTTCGGAACACTGAATTTGGTTCTACTGTTGATGGGGGAGGATGTCCCTGGTGTTACTTCTGGGGGCGAATATTGTCGGCAATTCAATGAAATCATTTTCCTACACTTTTCTGTTGGTGCTCTGGAAATGCAGCACTATCGTAGAAAATTAATTTTCACAGCCTCTTTTTTTTGTTTGTAAGAAAGGTTTCCAAAAATTGAAATCTCAATTTTTTACACCCTTGTCAAGTTTGTCAAAAGATTCAGAAAAAATTGCAAAAAAATCAACAAGCCATGACATTGTTGTAGTAGATGCATGTGTTAATGATGCTTTTCATGATAGAAATTACTTATGTCTCTTCAATAAAATCTCCTCCTTAAATTTAATATATTTTCAGGTAGAGAAGCATAAGAACGTTGTAGAGTTATTGAAAGAAGCTGAGCAAAAACTGACTACTATGACCTCTATTACCCAACGCAGCGATATGGATGATCCAGATTCAGGTGTAGATGCTCTAGACTCTTACATGTCCAATTTAAAGGAACAAAATTTTGACAAGCTAGAACGCAAACGCACTCGTGTAAGTTCTAGTTACAGTTTTTTCAAGTTCAATCTAAGAATGCTAACAGATAATTCCATCTATTTGAAGATGGTTTTTTTTATTTTTATTTTCTCCTTTTTTATCTCTTTCTCGCGATGAATATTTTTGTCAGTTTACAAAGGTGTGTGGTTTTATAAAATATAAGATACAGTTCCATTGATGTAATATGAATCAGATAGATAGCCTCCACTCCCATTTTTTGGCAATTAATCATAAATTTCTCTTTTTATGTATAAGATTAGTAAAACTTTAGTATTTCAAATAGTGGTCAAGATGTAGTTTTTAACAGTGCAGGATGATAACTCAAGTATAAAACCACATTTTTACTTATGATAGGTACCTTACGAAGACTTCTTTTGCATGTGCATCACCATTATTTCTTCATAATCACCAATTCATCTGATCATATTTTAGGTAGAAATTGAAAAACTGAAACAACAAGAAGCCAAACTTCGCAGCCTAGTCAACTTCACAAAACCCCCGAGCTTACCAGAAGTGAAAAAACCAGAATCTTTACCTCCAACCGTGAAAACTGAAAGCAAAAGTGAGACTGAACCATCCAAGAAAGCCCCACGTGAACCAGAACCGTCCAAAAGTTTTAGAGAAGATTTCAAAAGCAAGAGAGAGAGCTCTAAGAACAGTGAAGTGGTTCCTGCCAAAATTGCAAAGCAAACAAAGGCCAATGATGTGCATCAAACAGGTATGTGCCTAATTTTTTTCAATTTAAAAATCTTAATCAAAGTTGTTGGTTTATTTTTTTCTGAAGAACCTTATAACTATTTCACTAGTAAAAAATCTGGTTATATGAGCTGGTGAAAGCTACATTACGCCTTTCAAAAAATAGATTTAAAGTTATGCCATGCACCTTTGGTATGTGGAAACTTCTGATTGAAGCTCTGGCTTTGCTTAACAAAATATGTGCGTAGAGCTTTGGTACAGTATTCATTAAATAGAATTCTCAAATGAGGCAGCTCATGTGATAATGTTAAATTTCTGAAATCTCTGTTATGCACCAAATAAAACTGTACTATTATGCATGGATCTCAAACATTGGAACATGCGGTAGAAATGAATAAATAATTGGAAGAATTCGATCAAAAGTAGCCTAACTACACTTTACACTGCATTCCTCTAGCATTTTCTTTTATCAGCAAAAAAATGACAGCATAACGTATTGAAACTCTCGGCTAATTTTCCACGTATTATCGAAAAACTACTTATAATATCAAATCAGTGTGTTGCTCAGTTTTATTTCAAAAAAATTAATCGATCTTCCAAGGCAATTAGACAACAATTCGTCACCTTCCAGGCAAAGTATCACAAGCGCCATGCGACGTTTAAAAATTTCCGCCGCCATTTTATTTCTTTACTGAGAAATTGTTGGTTGAATCTGTTTGGAAATTTCACTAAATTTTATCGGCAGCACAAAGAAAATTTAGTGAAATTTTCGGACAGCTTCGTTGAACAATTTCTCTGTAAAAAAATAAAATGGCGGCGGAAATTTTTAAACGTCGCATGGCGCTTGTGATACTTTGCCTGGAAGGTGACGAATTGATGTTTTCTGGCTGATTTTGTTATATTCTATTATATTTTAAGAATGCTTGACTGATAGTGCTTTAAAAAGGTTCTTTTTAAAATATGATGAAAAACGTTTTTACATGGTTTGCAAGTTTAAATTTATCATTGTAGGCACCTCAAGAAGGCCCCAAAATCCCAGTATAATCCTGTGTACCTATTCACTCAGCTGATTCTGTTGCTTTTTCATTAGACCTCCTGACGAAAAAGAAGTCATCGAAAAAAAGTGGACGTAGAATGTTTTTACTCAAACTGTTAGAAATATTTCCATGTCCTAAATTCGAGGGAGTCCTGTTTTTGGCCAGAATACCTTTAAATTAATTGTGAAGACGTAGACCTCCGAAGATTTTGGGTAGTTAATACGTGATCTTTTTTTTTCAGTCTCCAAATCTGAGGAGAGTGAAGAACTTTGCGTGAAACAGCAAGAGCCGGTAAAACCAAAGAATATCCCCATAGCAAAAACAAAGGTCAGTTATTATTATTATTACGAAGTTATTTTTTGAAAAACTACCTATGTACGTTCGTAGTTCCATCTTTAATTTGAAATAAAAAAAAATCATAATTGGTAAGTCTGCTCTGCAATTTATTCGCCAATTAACTGAAAATTAACTGGGAATTAAAAAAAAAAAAAAAAAGCTGTGGTTACTTTGAGTTGGAGGTGAAAAATTTCCTGCTTTCAGATAATGGAGGCTCAGAAAATTTTAGGATTTTCCCAGGTAATGTTTTTTATTTCATGTGAAATTCATGTTTCACTAATTTTATGTTCTAAAGAAAGTGTTCTTCCTTGAAAGATTTTATGATCGTCATGAAATCACTTTTATGTATGCTTTAGCGGTTTTTTCCCCCTAAATCTTTGAGTGGAGGTATCTAACTTTTTAAATGATGATTTATATAGATAAACCTTCTGGCGATTGCATTCAGAAGTACATGCAGCTTGTCGCAAATTATCTTCGTAGTAATTAAAAATCTATCCACTAGAGCTGTTGCAATTTCCAGGAATTGCCTAAGAAATAGGTGCTTTTAAAGTACATCTCGGCAGAAAACGCGTTTTTGAGCTTTAAATGCTCTTAGCGGCTTCCTCAAAAAAAAGAGACTTAAAGTTAAAGTTAAGAATAGAACGTTCCTCGTTGGCCTGAAGCTATAAATATCATCTGAGGCGATGACCGAGGGTTTCAACTCTCTTGAATCTAATGCAGCACGGTCACAGTACGACTCAAATCACTAACAATCTCATTTAAAAAGAAAAAAAAAAGAAAAAAAAGGGCACAAGTATTTTCCTTTCAAACAGCGATGACATTACAAGTCCCGTTGAGATAAGTACATAACTTCTTGTTACAATCGTGACATGGAAGTTAATGAACAAACATAGGTGAAAGGATACACCACCGTTAATTCTCCTCGTGATGTCACAAAATCTGTTGGCAGGATATTTTTCCTTTTGAATCAAGTTAGGATTTTTGGTTACTTTAGAAGTCTTTCTCAGTTAAAATGTGATTAGATGATAAACGGAAAAATGCAAGCATTCTCTTTAGTACATACTTTTTGAAATATGCAATATATATATGCATTTTGAAATATTTTGTAGTGAGCATGACTAATAAGTATTGTCTCTTTCTCTTTTTCTCTGCAGAAAGCAAGTAAAAGCAACACGGAGGAAGAATACAGCACTACAGTTTGGCAGCCACCTGCAGGTCAAACTGGCGATGGACGCACAAGTCTAAATGATAAATATGGATACTGAGTCTCTTCTATTGTTGATTTGTAAATAAGAGTTGTGATTTTTCCAGCAATTGTTGCCTATTTGTACAGTTATCAAGTGTACAGAGAGTTACTGTTAATAAAATGAAACACTTCAAACGAAACGGATTCTTTTATTATTAATAACAATATAAAATTACCTATGCAGGTAAATGTAATGTCTCTCTCATTCATACACTCATATTGATGGTGAAATGACCGAACCATGGATCTCAATGGTGGTGGTGCCAGACTTTTGAAACACCCTGTATGAAACCTGAGCAGAATCTGCTCGGTTTCAATGGCCTTCAAACTTAGAATTTCAAAAAATGTTGGTGCAATTTTCTCAACATGCCAAAACTAGACATCCACTCCTCAACAACGCTTTAAATGTATGATTAAACATTTTGGAATATTATCCGTACAGAAAACTTGAAATACCGTTTACGTCCGCAGATAATCCGCACCTTTCCCCCCGATTTTATCCCTCAAAAATCAGGGTGCGGGTTATCTGTGAAACTCACTGCAATTGCATACCTATCAGGCACTACTTGATGATGCGAGCGAAACAGACCACCGTGAGCGCGTGTGGGTTGTACAGGTTCTTTTTTTTGACCCTCTCAAAATCTGGGGTGCAGGTTATCTGCGGACGTATACAGTGGTTTTTATCTGAGTTTATTTTAGCAGTGAAATATTGTAACAAGTGAGAGATTTTCTAACAATTCTGCACTTCAGTTCGAATGAACAGAGCAGACGGCCTCAAAAAATTGTGGTAGGGTCTTCGTAATAAATGGAGCACACATTTTTTTTTAAAGTAAAAAAATTTAATGGAAACTTTTTACAATAAAAATTACATTACATCTACGGGAATATTAACAACCTGTTTCATTTTTTGTTGCACCGTTGAGAGGTTATCCTTCCATTCATACAAGACATCCCTCAGTTGCTGCCACTGGGCACGTCCAAAAGTACGGTGCATTGTGTTTGAGATGTGAACTTTTCTGGCAGCTTGATCCATTCTTGCATGAACAAACTTGGTTTTCAATACTGAAAAAAAGATACAAATTGCAATTAAAATTCATTGAACTACTTGAAGCTATTTTTCAATAAATGGAACAAAATGAGATAAATTTACTTTACAAAACCACCAGGGTGGAAATAAATCAAGTATTTGGTACTTAGCTTTTTCACTTGCTGATGAATCTACAATGAGCGATTGAAAAGAGAATTTTATCAAGTATAAATCTTTCAAAAACATTGAAAAGAGTGGGAGAAAAAAGTCTAAGCATGTATAAATGAGATATTTTCTGATTTAGCATGTGGCATTTAAACGTCTGAATCATTTGGTGATCTAAGTTTTGAGATTTTGCAAAAGAGTCGGAAAATATTTTCAGTGTACACATTTAATGCACCCAAGAAAGAACAAAAAAATAGCAAATAATGCAGTTATTAATACATGTAAAGGAGTATCCACACAATACCAAGAAATTGGGCGCAGGCTAAATTCTGAAAGCTGAGGCTGAATTCTAAAGGCTGTAAATCACAAGCCTACAATAATCACTTTAAAGCCCCACTTCTCTTGAGATTAGCACGCAGAATATTTGATTTTAAAAGCTCACTAAGCTCACAATCAGAGGGCTGTCAGGAACATCATAAAAAAATATCCAAATTTAGCTGGCGCTGAATTTCTCAGAATATCATGCGGGATCTTTTATAATGAATAAGCATACGTCTTTTAAACAATATGATCTGAGTTAGATCCAGTGCTTTCATTCCAGCAATGGGTGATAAAATTGTAACATAGTCAGCTTTTAAGATATGCATTCTCTGCAAAAATGACATAGGATATTAGCCCTTCTACCTAAAAATTCCTTTACACAAAGCGTCGTTTGCCGCGCAAAGGAACGAAATTCCACTCCAAGGTTGGGAAATTGACTTAAACAATTTAATTTTTTACAAGAATAAACCTGCATAATTTTTGTTGAAAATTTGTCTGATTTTTGCTTGGAATCAGACGAAACATTGGTGAAATTTTCAGTTCGGAATTCGAAGAATCATCCTGGTAAAATTGCACTTTATGAAGGAAAATTTAGCAACTTTGAAACATAGTTACGCTGTTTCATGAGGAAAACGACGAAAGGACAACATAAGAGCATGCATTTTTCTCTCATTTCTCAAAAATAAAACCTTGAAAAAAAAAAAAACCCGGAAAATCAAGCTTTTGCGCCACTAAGAAAGATGAAAAATCAAATTATAAAATGAAATTACCATCAATAATAAATGCTTCCACTTCGTTTTCAGATATTTGAAGCTCGCTTTGGATGAGGTCGAAGGACATCTCCTTTTCTGTCTCTGCAAGTTGCATGAACGTCAAGAGCTTCATCTTCTTTAAATTCTGATTATGATCTAGTCCTGAAAGGGAAAAATGGCCATTGGTATAGGTGAGAAGGAAAAAATGAAATTTTATGATAAATGTTTCTTTGAAAAATTTTAAAATAAATTCTGCCACAAGACAGAGTAGTATCTGATGGCTTAACAGATTTTATTCATTAAGAAAATTTTCTCCACCTAAATGAGTGGAGGAAAGATGATCTGAAGCATTTTTGAAATATGTATTTCTAAGGATCAATGGAGGGGATTTTTAAAGGGGGAGACATTCAGTGAGATAATTTCTGTTTTCAGCAAAAATTCATTTTGAAATCACAATCCAAGGTAAAAAATTAATTTAAAGGAGTTTCTATTTGTACAACTGTGGTATCTTGAAGATGGAAAGTTTAAAAAAAATTTCATTGTCACAATTTCCCGATTGTTTTGGATAAAAAGCTGATCAACTCAGGCCAATTGAGAGTACTTACCAGAAAAGTTCATTCTAACTTTGAATTAACCTAAAAAAATCAGTCTCGTAGGAATCAAATCAATATCAATACCTTTAATGTTCATTCCTGGCGAATATATAATGTTGATGGCCAAGGTGCAAAACCACATGTCTCCATTGCAGTGTTTTGAAATTTCCATTCCTGATTTATTTTTTCTAGGGGAAAACAAGTTAATTTTTTAACGTGGAATCAATGCAGAATATTCTGGCCACCAGAGAAGAAAAATCAAGAAAGATTTCGAGAAATTATGTTGATTAGCTTTCCAAATAAAAGTATGACAGGAAGTATGCAACATCGCAAATGGAGATAAGGGGTTTCACACTTTGGCCATCAATTTGGTAAAAATAGAGTTGGACTGCAATGTACTATAGAGAACTACTATTTCTGGCTCATCCATAAAGGCACTTGTCAGCATAAGGAAACTGATGGCGTGTACGGTATCTCTACACTCAGCCACTAACAATGATTCATTGCAAAATAAAGCTCAGTTCATCTTTGGTTTGTATTTACCTAGACTGTTGACAAACTCCTTGTGTTCTTGATAAAATTTGATGTAGGCGGGCAGTTTTTCGTAAACAAAAATGCTCAGTAAATCGTGAATGAGTTCTCCTTCCAGGAACTTGACTGGCTTCAGTGATAGAAGGGGCTCCAAGAGGAACGTGTTAGGATCCGCTAGCGCAGCAAATATACACCTTTGGGCATCCTCTCGCGCTTGGCTTGCGTTCTCTGAAGTGTAAGTTCCCAGGAGTTCAATCATTACTTTGGCAGCTAGCTCACTGGAATTAAAGAGAAAAGACTTAAGATTGCACATCGCTTAGCTAAGTTAAGTTCAGTTAAAATATTGCTAACTCTTATACTAAACAGTTTTTGCAACTGCAAAATTTATAATTTTTTTAATTAAAAGATCGGCTGTATTTTATAGTTTTTTTTTGGCATAAACCAAACGTTTAATAAATTCAATCTAATTGCCCTGATGTATTGGCTCAATGCCTATTAAAAAAAACTTGAGTTTTTATCTCTACTAGAACCTAATGATGTGTTAGGCAAAACTTCCTCTGATGGTTTTAATAGAAATCTCTGACAGGATGGAATCCTTTGTGTTTTAGCATTTGCCCCAGTCTTCAGATACCTATAACTTACAGGTAGAAGACATAATTAAGTTTAAAAAAATTTAAATATAATTTATTAACATGTCAATTAAGCTAACTTCATTGATGACAAAAATTCAAATTTTGAAAGCATTCATGCGGAATAGGTAAGAGTTTTTCAGTAAAACAAGCTGGTTTACTTCTAAGTTCCAGTTCTGGGTCGATTGAAAATATTCCATTTGGATTAAAAATGAAAGGCTTACAAAACTCTAATACCTTTTGAATTAAATGATCTGGTGTATCCAGTAGTTCTAAAATATTAAAATTGTTTAATTGCCTGACTTTTCTCTGACTATTTTTGCTTTTTTCTGAGTTTAAAATATACATATTCCCTGACATTTGAATGAGCTTTCACTTCAATTTTTTCCTTTCAATTACACTCACTTAGATTTTAAACGCTGGTCACAAAATTCCCTGACTTTTCCAGTTCACCATGGATTCCATGACTTTTTAGGTTTTTTAGACCGCTCAAAACCCTATGCATTACATCTTAGTCAAAAGTTACTAATCTCTCAATCTTCTGGTTACTTTACGTTGCACACATTGAATATTTCTTGTCTCTCAACCAGTATTTCTTTGTCACCGTGACTAAAATTATCTTGTACGACAAAATCATGTTTATGGTTATGATTTAAATTATGTCTTTTAACAGATAACAAGAATTAATCAAATAAGTACCCTTGTTTGCTTTTCAGGAGAACATCATGGAGTGCCCGCAACAGTTTCTGCATTTGTTCGTTGGAAGGTGGGCAAGCGGCAAATTGTTGTTTTAAATGATCAACATCCTTAAACACTGCTTTGATTTGGTCTGTATCATGCGCAATTTGAATTAAGTAGAAGTACACATGGTATCGCATTGTGCAGTCCTCACTTAATGACTGGAACAACAGCCAGAGTCTAAATAAAGAAAGAGAGGTCACATCAAACTTCACATTCAATCGGATTTGGGTAAAAAACAAAAATCAGTCTGCAACGCAGAAAGCTCAGGGTTGCCACAGAATGTAGCAAATGAGCTTTCCTGACACATCTTAGTAATATTCCTTGACAAAAGTAGAAATGCCAGATGGTTAAAAAGAGATGATCAGAAATAGCTTTCAGGCAAAATTTGTTGTTCGAAATGTCGAACGCATAAGCAAATAAAGGTGATTTAATAGTTTATCCCTGACATTTTTGTCATTTTCCCTGACATTCCTGAGTTTTCTCAGACTGAGGTAACCCTGAAAGTTCTAAGCTTTCTTATTCAGCAGATTGACATACTCATTTTAAAAACCTCTTTTCCCCACGAGTTTCAAAATGATGACTCTTTAGTCCTTTTCCCTTCTGGATATCATTTTTCTATTCTCTACAACTTTGTGAAAAACAAAATTCTCACTCTAAGAAAGCCAGTCACTCCATTCGTAAGAGCTTTTTTTGCTGTCTACCTATTTTTAGAACCTGTTTTTGCCACCTTCCCAGTTTTGTAGAAGTTTGATCGACAAGTTATTGTACCCTTGAAATCAGTAAAGACAGTTAAACACTTGGGTATCTGAGAACAAAACACTCTTCTTTTCATTTTTGCAATTTTCAATGACTGTGGCCTCAACATTGATGAAATTATATAGCTTCAGGTCTGTGATCCAAGTTCCGGATTTTATTTTCCAAGTCCTCATCACATACTGTCGGTTCCTTTGGCAAGAAAGGTTTTATTAAAATTTAATGGATTCATACTTACACTTTAAGGCCTACATGTCCAAGATTGAAGCTGGATGTTTTCTTCACTTGATCACAGAAATTCAGGATGAGGTTCTCTGCTCTGCTTATTGGTATTTGCAACTGTGGAGAAAAAATGAGCATTTCAATACTGATACAATGGGCTGAGCTATCTCAGAGGTAGTGCAAAAATTAAGGGTATGGGAGAATACAAAAATATATCAATAGTTGGGTCTAACATGGCTCTAGATGACATAATTATGGTTCTGACAAGACCTTTATGAGCTTATTGGGTCTGAAATTCAGAGAATTAGCCTTATAAGGATGTCTTGTTGTACGACCACCTGAGAGATTTCCACAAAAATGGTTCCATGAAAAGAGATGTGGTTGCAAAACAATTTTGAGCAAAAATCTGCTTTAGTTCGTAAATGTAGTGAAAGAGAAGAAACACTAGGCAAAATTTCCCTTTGGTTAAGAACCACTGCTATAATTCTTCCCAAGTTGGTCATCGGCGGTACTCAAATCAGTGAAACTTTTCATCTGTATGGCATTTTCGTGAACATTGAATAATGCAATCCTTAATGGTTCCCCGTGTAGCTAGTGGCCAACTTATGTTGATAGGATGTCCAACTGTAAGTAGGATACTTGACAAGATAAACTCTTACCGTTACGAACATAGAGACAATTGAATTTAGAACACTTTCCACATCCTGCTCCTGTCCATCTTTGAAACACGTGTCGCAGACGCCAATGATTTTGTACAAATCATCTTCAATACCTTTTGGCGACTTCTCTTCTGATATTTCAGCCCCAAGACTTTTGAAGTATGATCTTAGTTCTAGCGCCTGAAACAAGAAATTGGTAAATATGTAAGGTGAGCGATGGTTTGGGCGCCACTACTTAAGGGATTTGCCAATCATTGAGAATAATCCTTTCACTATGTTAAAGATAAGATGCGGTTTTGAAAGTTGTTCTGATAGAGAGTAAATAAAACTCACAATGCAGATTAAAATCTTCAAATAGTGCGTAATAGATGGACAAAAAGGTAATGGCTACTTGATAAGCAGCTGTCCATTTACTGTTCAGCAATGCAGGGTGCAGAACAGTATTGCTTTTTGTACACCAACCAAATGCTAGAATGAATTGATGAATTCAACTGTGCTTTGTCTCATTCATCTATGAATTGGCGAGTTACTAAAAATTATGGTTTTAGATAATGACATCCGCCTTGCATCCGACAAGGGCTGCTGATATTTGTTTTGCACTGATCTGGTTGTTAGAGGTTGAAAACATCAGAAATTAAACTTACCTGATCTTCAACTGTGGAATCAATGAAAACTGCTGGATTACCAATCATTTTTAGGAGTAACTAACAGACTTTGGGACACAGAAAAGTTTACACGCGGGCACAAAATATATAGGAAGTTGCGGATTTGGAGGTTAGGTCGATCGCAGCAGCCGCAAGCTTTCGTATCGAAGTCGAAATGTAATTTAAAAAGTTGCCGCTTTGATAAGATAAAATAATTTTGCTATTTACTTTTCATAATGAAATAATGCATTTTTTGCACAATGTGGCATTATCAATATTACTGATTACTGATCTCGCCGAGGAATCGGCGTCCCGTCCCAGTAATTTGTTTTTGTTTATCTTCATTTGGTGATGATTAATCAATTTATATAATTTCAGTTTGCATATTCAGTGTATAAATTGTCCTCTTCTTCTTTAGCAGGTAATATTCTCTCCATTTCTCGATGAATTTTAGTCGAAAATCGTCTCTATTTCTCACGTCTTTGCGATAAAATTTTGATGGCTATGTGAAGGCACTCTTCTTTACTTGATAAATTTACCTGAATTTCATCTCCTGCACCCGCATTTAACCCCCTAAATAAACCCGATTAACGTCTCCACTTTTCTCTGCTAGCTCATTGCAACGATTTTCTTGTCACACACTTATTTTGTCCATTGCATCATTGAAAACATGAAGTCACCAACTAGTTGGAACTTTGCATTTCTTGATTTTTATTATTCGCTCTCATTTGGCACGAAATCTCTTAAATTGTTGTTTTGGTGTCCAGAGCTCTTTTCATACTACGTGATTGACTGTCTGAGATCATTTACTTTTTCATTGAGGAGATTTCAATGTACTCATGAGTTGCTTCAAGTAGACGCTCATTCCCAATCACCAGAGCGGAACTTCATCGGAAAAAATGGGCGTACTTTAATATAATCAGGATGATTTGCAAATATTCTACAGCTTCTGATTGGCTGGCGGTATATACTTAGCTCGTTGACAGATGATGCAGCTCTGTGCAAAAGTCACATCAAAATTTGGCCTTTGGTCAATATGAATATGATGATCCGGCTACTGTCTAGCCTATGATCCCCTAAGTATTTTTAAATTGTGTGATAAGTCTGACAGGAATACGCTGATGTTTCATTATATCTAAAAGCACTTGAAACCATATGAATGGGACTTTCAATTCAAATTGAGGAACTTGCTTAAGACTTGTAAGAAATTTAATGAAAATTTGAAAATATATAATGTACACTCAATATACAGAACACTTTCCTGTTAAAGAGACTAATTATCACCAGGATTTTAACCCATAGTAATTTTTCCAAGCAAGGAAAATGGGGCTCAATAGATTAACTGTTCAATTGACTCTTCTCTAGAACCAAGGGGTCAATGTAGATGGTTAAATATTTACAAAACTCATTTGACGAACCGGACAAAATGCTATCAAAACTACTTCATTGAAAGGGGTTTCGTTGACGAACCAAAACAAGATGTTCAAAAGTTCAGACTGGGTCTACTGAGTTCTCATTAATAATTAATATCTCACAATAATCTAATAAATTAATATCTCATTTTTCTTTTTAGAACTGTAGTCACGTAGTTTGAATGCGAAGCTTCTCTTCGAGGAATCAGCAGCAGGGCTTACCACCTGCTCCTCAAAACTCATTAGCTGTGTCCACTTTTTGTTTCCAGCCATGTCTTTCATAGGTTTGTCTGTAAGTTTTCCATCATTTTATTTTTCACATTCAAGTTTACAATAATGTAAGTCTCTAATGTACGACAGGGTTAGGAACACTTATGTGTGTGGGGAAAACAAGCTCATTGTTTAGAAATTCTGTAGGGGTCTATGACTCTGATGTTATTGGAGTTGTAACTTGAGTTTTAATCAGAGGCGGATCCAGCAAGTTGGCAAAGTTGGTTTCCCTCCATTTAAGCCTGTGTTAAATAATTTATTCTTATCGGAGCACCTGGCCCCTTTGAGAATCGATACATGTCTACAGGTTTAAATGGAGAGAAATCAATGTTGCCAACTTGCTGGATCCGCCAATGGTTTTAAGGCTAACTTTTTTGCAAAGTTTACAGCCTTGTCTCCATTTGACGTTTTCTTGAGATTTGTTCTAGGGTCAAATTGCGGGAATGTAACTTTTGGGATTTTTCATATATTCTCTTATTTTTATCTTTCTCCTTTGATTTTTCAGGCTTGAACTGAATCTTTAAATTTTTTGGGAGCAATATGTCTCGCTTTCGTGATACAGGAAATCCAGACTGTAAAATCTATGTCGGAGATCTCGGTGAGTATTTCATTAATTACTTTCCTCGAGCATCACCCTTCATTTTTTGCCTGAAACTAAAATCATGGTTTACATAGTAAATGAGACTTGAATGGTACGTTGCTCAGAATTTCTGAAACATCATGCTTCGGGAGGGAAAACTGTGTTGATTTCTCCATTATTACGTGTGTGGAAAAACAAACAAGGGACATACATTTTCCCAATTCAGATCGGTAATTTCTTGCTCGAGCCATCATATTAGAATTGAGTAGACTTAGCAGTTTAACAGGTGATGAAACCTTAATAAATCCAAAAAAAAAAAAAAAAAAACAAAGTCTAACTGTCTCTCAGTGGTTGTAGAGGAGTTGAATGGACATGTGCTTTTCACACCCATGTTTGAATGCTTCAAGTGTAGTGTGAGATTCATGAAAATCAGTCAAATCAATTCTCTGCTAACATTTTAAGCCACACGTACAAGTCGATTGTTTCGATTGTAGATCTCAGAGTGTACCCTCTTTTATTTTTTTGCAGCCTCCTCAACTTCTAAGCAAGATCTAGAAGATGCATTCGCATACTACGGGCCGATCCGGAATGTGTGGGTTGCAAGAAATCCCCCTGGTTTTGCTTTTATCGAATTCGATGATGCTAGAGACGCAGAGGATGCCGTTCGCGGTGCTGATGGAAGGTAGTTAGTTGCTTGATTATATCTTTTGATCATTGTCAAGAGCGGCTGATTAAGTTTATTCGAGAAGAAGAGTGTAAGCCTGTGGATGTTTCAATGCTTTTTTTTTTAATAGCAAAGTCTTTCGATATTCCTGTACTTCAGTTCTGCAAAATGGTTACTTTTTGTGATTTTTCTATCCATTCTATTTTAAGGTGATATTTGGTCGGTGGCATCTTTTGTATTGGAATATTCCCATCAATAATTAAAATTTTAAGGGGAGCCCATAGGCAAATCGTCTATGCTGGATAGCCTGGGGTAATGTTTACAAAGCATCATAAGTATTCATTTGGCTTCAAATAATTTGCAGGTTCATCCTTCTTTCACAAGAAAAATATTCTACAAATTGAAAAGCCCCCTAGATTGCTGCATTTGCATGCAACTTTGGCAGTGTGAGAAAAGTTTACAATATCATAAAAGCATCCTGTAAAATTTTCCACTATGTACCCTTTCTTCTGTACTTAGTGTGAGAAATTTATATCCAAAGATTCCCTATTAAAAATAAATTATTTGACACGGAGAATCAATACAGGATCCCACTATTTCTTTCCCATGTTAGAAATTTTATGAAATGATTAATTGGACATGTTTATGCTAAAAGGAATTATTTCACATGCAATCCCTATGCACACAGTTCCTTTTAGCATAAATACGTCCAATTTGAGCAAAGAATGACTTAAAATTCTCCGAAAACCTGAAACAAAATCAATTGCCAAAAATTTTACCTCATCTATCTTTGACCTTCTCATTCAAGAAGTAAGAAACTTCTCTGTTGTTTCCTGTATACTGATTTACCTTATTGTAAAGATATTGCATATAATTCCTTTGGAAGTTTACAAAATAAAAACTTTATAAAAAAAAAAAAAAAAAAAAATCTATCATTGAAAAATAATTGCAGGCGTTCTGTGAATGGGAGACGTGTAAGGGTAGAAATGTGCAATGCATCGAGAAAAGGAGGTTTTCGTGGGACTCCATCTCGGCGAACTGGACGCCCCTTCCATCCTGAGGATCGTTGCTACGAATGTGGAAAGCGCGGACATTATGCTCGCGACTGCCGTGGCCGTGGAGGGCGTGCAAGGTATGTCGTTTTTTTGCATTCATTTAATTTTTGGTAATAGATACAGTATTTTGTGTTGAACGTATGCACATGTACCATTCCACTAACTTTTATTTTAACTGAACGACTCAGTCAATTTTAAGGTGAGTTAACTGAAGCACATATAATTCTGAGTGAAAGCACTCTGTCAAAGATTGATCATCAAATTTTCAATGGATCGCTAATCAAGGTACAAATTTAAGCATTCCAATATGTGTTTCATCTTTGAAATTTCATATAGAACACAATTCTTGAAACAAGCGGAAAGATTAAATTCAATCATTGAAAAACAACAATACCTTTGCCTGAGTCATTTGCAATAATTATTGTTGCATGAACCTGTTCTACTTGAAATTTTCATGAGATAATATATATTATATTGCTTTAATTTGCACCTTGTCCAGTTTTCCATTCAAACGTTGGTTTATGTTTTTCTCAAGTTTGGTTTAGTCTGAACTTAATGGGCAATTTTTTATATTTTGTCCATTTCTCTGGAGGTCATCAAATTTCAAAGGAACTCCTTTACTCGTGATACCCTATAAATCAAAGTTACTTTTTGTGTTTTGGTATTTATGTTTCTGATCTCAAAGTCGTAGTTCCTCTCTACTGTATTTATTTTCTGTTTTTTTATCACATTCATAAGCTCAAGATCTGATTTTATTCGTGTGTGATAAGTATTCTGATAACTTTGCAGTGGTACAAAGTCATGTGCTCTTCCACAATTTGCATGAAATTCCTCTATTGATATACCAATAATTTACTATAAACCTACTTAATATTATTTTTACGCACAACCTAAAAATTCTGTTTTCTGCTGGCTTAAATTTGATTCTCCTGGTAGTCTGTTTTGATTTAACGGGGGTTTTAGCCTTTCCAGCAACTTTTCATTCAGTAATTTTACCAACCTGAGAAGATAGAAATGTTAATACTAAATATCCTTAATGTTTTTGGCAGTATGAAGAAGTAATTATACAACAGGATAGATTTCTGTTCACATTCCAGTACATACACAGTAATCATTTCTTTCTTGAAATTCAGAATAACCTTATCATTAAAATGTTAATCACTAGAAACGAAAATAAAACAGTTCACAATACTGAAGAAAATCAATCAGAACATTACAAACCCGTGGAGAGTTTTTATTTTTTAAGTAATATCCTAGCCCAATCTCTATTATAACAATTACGTAAGTATTCTAATGTACGAAAAAAACGAACGAATCAGGTTTTGTGCAGTACGGTGCAGCTTTCAAAGGTAGCTAGGCAGCTAAAATTTTGTTCAAACTCTTACTGAACTGGATGACATTTAGTGTGAGACCTATCGAACGATCAGTTTATTCTTTTAATTTATCAGAGTTCATTTTGTTTTGTGTCTTCCCAAACCTTTTTTATAAATGTGAAGGCATTGTTGTGAAAGTAAGTACTCGCTGCTTATTTGATGTTGTAGTTTCTCAGATCAGGATATCCACAGAATGGAAAAAGTAGAGATCATGGAAATAAATGAAGTAGATTAAAATGTTTGTCCCTGTTAAGTTTTTCTCGATATGATGAATGTTGGCAGACCATTTGTATGAAAAACCAAATAACTTACATCTCTTAAAATCTTGAAACACCCTGTTCACTATTTTCAATCAAAATCAAATTTGTAAATAAATCAGTGGCTTTAACCCAGAATGCAGTGAATTATGGATCCCTTGTTGCTCGAAGACAACTCAACTATTTATTCAAAAGACGTTGACCATGATTTCATCAATGTTTTGATAGGCAGTATGGCTGAGAGTGCATAGTTCTTCGATGTGCGCAGTAGACGCGTCAACTTTGGCTGTAGTCAGCGTAGCCTCTCCGAGAGCAATCACTTCATTGTTTTCTCACGCCCACTAGTCTGCTTGCCTACAAGATAGATCTTCTAGTCTTGCGCTCGTGCAATTCACACTGCTCCGCCTGAACCGCGCCCTGAACTCAGTCAACAAGTACATCTGCGTTCTCTTGATGATCGTCTGTTTCTTCCACTTAAGTTCTATCAATAATCCAAGCAAAACATGTGCGCTCACCCTTCCCTTCCATCTTTGTTAATATTCTTGTAGCTATGATTATTCGTAGAGTGGTAAATCTAATAAAATCTGAAAAATTTGAATATACCAAGGAATCAAAAATCTTTAAAAAAACCAAAGAACGTTGGAATTGTTGTAAAATACCAAGAATTTCTTCTGTCTCTGCTGCACTATTAAATTTGACTAATTCTGCAGTGACCCGGCTTTTAAGAATATGACATAACATGGAACAAGCACATATCTGACTCTGGCAAAGAATCTAGTTTTCTTAAACAAATTTGGAGAACCTGGGTGGAAAGCATGTCCTAGATTCATCCAATAACGAGCCCTTAAGGATGGGTATAAAATCAGTCATTAAGAAAATTCACACCATTTTGAAACCATTATTATAAGGACCACTTTTTGCAATAAGGAACTACTATTTTGGTTCATCGTAGAAGCAACATGTGTGCTACTTATTTTACCCTGTAGATAGGTGCTTTTATGGATGAGCCAGAAATAGTAGTTCCTAATTAAAAAATGTAGGCAATGTTTGCCTGGTATTTGACCACAAGGAATCAACTCTTCAGGCATTTTTTAGAAACAAGATGTCTACCTTTGATTTCCCTGTTTAAACAGATGCATTTATACGTGCGTCCCTGTTCTTAGTTTCCTTGTATTACATACTAACTAGAAGATTCAGCTGTCAATATGTTATGCCCAAACTATTTGACATCTAAGTGTATCCAGCACATCACTTCAAATTTTTCTCTGAAATCTTCTCTTCTCTCCCTCCGAATAAAGATTTTTTATTTATCCTAACCCTTAATAAGCGCACATGCCCAGCTGAAATTGAAAGTAACTTAAGTGGTAAACAAAGAAACCAAGTGCCGGTAACGCTGTAGACATTCAGAGTCGAGGAACCCGCTTAGCGTCTACGATAGCTCGGCTCTCAGGTCTTGCTCCTGGCTGTCTAGCCATCTATTTGGGCGCCAAAAGTTTCCTCGACAAGCCACCGACCAATTCCCAGACAGATAATCTATCTCAATGATCGCACAGTTTTCTCTAGTTAAAAGAGTGAGTGGTTTTTTTATTCTTTTTTCAATGGACGGCTCAGTTTCGCTGGTCACAGAATTGAATTTTGATGATTGAAACTTATAAACAGTAACCGCCAACGGGAATTACAACCTTTGATGTTTGGAGAAAAATTTTTTACAGTAGCAATTCTCATTAAAAAAAAATTTGAATCAGCGGTTTTGAAAGAGAACTCAAGGTAAGAATAGTAAGTAGGTAAAGAATCAGTTGTGAGTGGCTCTGATTATTTTTGTGCCTACCGAAGACATTAAATTGTATTTTAATCTGGCAATCGTCTCACAATTATAATCAGCTTTTTCTTATAGCTATGTTTTCAGGGTTGAATTTTTCAAACAATTTAAAACAGGTGTGATGTGGCACTTTTGGCGTTTTTAGTGCCGAGATATTTCTCAAACACTCCGCTAAGTAGTGGTATCAGTCTCTTAATTTTCATTTTTTCTGTGCAGAGATTTTTTTTTTCTTAAAGGAGATTACAACTAGTGAAAAGTAAGATCCATTCAAACGCCAAATTTCTATGTTTAGTACCCATGAAAATTATGCCTATCAAGAAGCATCAAGCTTCATGTCATTCACCGGAATGGTGCCAACTATGGGATCTATCAGCTTGTTTTCATCAGTGAAGCAACCAACGCAAATGTGGATATCACTGGTTAATGAATTAAAGATGGAAGAAACCATAGTATGCATGACCACTGAGGATGATGTCAATGCTGTATTTTTTCAAGGAAAATATCTGTTAATATTGCGATGTGAGAGATCTGACATTAAGACAGATTTCATTACTTTTTGCTAATCTATATGTTTCGATCATTAAAATACTATTCTATGATTGACAAAATTGACCTGCTTCGCTTGTAACGATTGACCATTCTCGTCAGAGAATTGATGGTTTTACCATTTCACAATCGTGATTGATCTGAGGGTGAAATAACTGGTACGCCAAACTAAACAACAAAACCTGTTGGTGAGAGCAAACACATCAACTCAGGTAATTTTATCGGGTGGTTCTACAAATGTGATCAGAAATAGAGAACAAATTTTCTAGTCATAAGACAGTAACTTTTCATTTAAAATATTTGATTCTGCTCTCCTGTAAAGTTAGAATCTCAGATCAGTATAAAATTAAAAAAACTTGATCCTTCATTTAACTTGAACATTAAATTACAGTCAAAACCATTAATGGTTTGACATGTTGGCTTGATCGGGTGCTCTATTAATTTGTGTGGTTTTTAATTGTGATTCATTTCACTTTTTAATGTTTCGTTATTTTTTCTTATTTGTTCGTCAAGAATTTTCTCCAAGTATATTTAATTGCAGTTTGAAACTAAGTTATATAATCATTTCCAGGGTGTCTACATTTTAAAAACGGAGAGATTCACTCTAATGTAGACATTCTAGGTAAATTTTAAAATTAACGGAAGACACTGCTCTTTTTGCGACATATATTAGTAAATTAATAATTGAAATAACAAGGGAAATTTTTTATTTTTATCGTATTGATCCAAGAAAATCTGGTAAAGTCGAAGAATATTTTTTGTAGACACCCTGATTTTTTTTCCTTCAACTGTTCGTGAACTGTCTTGTCCGTCCCAGATATTAATTATGTGAAACTTACACTGCTATGCTAAGGAAAAACGCTGTATGAACATTCAACTGTTGCCAATTTTCCACTCAGAAAATATTTATTTTTGAGGAAAATTATGAATATTCCTCCTTGAAATTTTCAGACCTTTTAGATCAAACCACAAACAAAATTCCCTGAAAAATTAGAAGGAAATAGTTACAAATTTCCCCAGAAATCTGTGATTCTTCACAGGAAATTTGGCATTGTCTGAAGGCACATTCGGCGTTCCTCCTCAGAATAGCAGTACAGACCTTTAGTGTTTGCTTTCCAAGGAAAATTTCTCCTTTTATTTTCCAGTTGGTACTCATGACCAAGTATGATTAGGTTTTTTATTTTTTCCAGTGAAGGAAAATGTACCTTGAAGTGCAGTAATGTGCTTTGAAAGTTGGATACATATCAAAAGAGTGCTTGGATTCAACCCTAGTTCAGAGGTGTAGAAAATTCTCGATCACGCATCCGCCCGGGCAAGTGAAAAGGCCCTTACAAATGTGGAAGGAGGGAAAATCCCTTAATGGTCAGAAGTCGAAAATCAAAAGAAAGGAGAGGAAAAAGGTCCTCACTTTTGCAATAGGCGGGAAATTTTGTGGAAAACTGATTTTAAAAATGTGGAGAGCTGGTCTGCCGAGATAAGGAAGAACGCCGTATAAACATTCGAGAGTTGCCAAATTTCCCGTGATAAAACATGTTTTTGTGACAACATTCATGCATATTTTTCCTTGAAATTTTAAAATGTTTTATATTTAAATTGCACACAAAACTGTCTAAAAATTTTTGGAAAAAATTTTCACAATTTTCCCAGTGAATTCGGTTTTTAACGAAGGAAACTTGGCAACGTCTGAAGGCTCATACGGCGTTCTTCCTTAGCACGGCAACGGTGGAAACGTGGAAGCTTGGAAGATTCTGCACCTCTGCTTTAGTTTGAATTTTTTCGGATGCTCCAGGGATCCTAGAAATCCCTGCTAGTCATAATTTTTACAGGATAAATCCGTCCACAACAGAAATATGGAATTTCTCCATTTTTTTATAGGTGAATGTAAAAATTGAATACATTTTGCTAAATCCATTTATTCCTTTTACCAAAATATCTTTTCTTTTACTACCATTGTAAATAAATTTTTTGCCCCTGAGATCATAGTTAATGGTCATTTGTATGATTTCTAAAATTTTCCAGGTCTTATTCAAGATCAAGGTCCCGCTCTCGTGACCGTGATCGCCGGAACAGATCAAGGAGTGCTTCAAAGAGTCGCTCCAGGTCTCGTGGAAAGCGCTCTACATCCCGCACTCGTGCTAGATCTGTCTCCCGCGGGAAGTCGGTCTCAAGATCCCGATCTCCTAGCAGGTAAATACGTACAAATGTTTATAAGTTGCAGGAAAATAGTCAAATTTTATCAAATGCCTGGGCATATTAGCACATTTTAAAAATTTACAAATTTTAGTAGGTTTTTACAAAGACACCTTGAGTTTTGAACGTTTTGAAAGTAATAATAATTCATCAAATTTACGATTTTTCCTTGAATATTCATTTGCAAATGCCCCTCATATGTTTTAACTGTCAAAATTTAAAAAATTTTGTATTTTATGGCTTGCAGTAAATTTTAAGAGAAACGCTAGCTCTAGGGCCACAGATCATTACAAGTGCCTTCATATAATGCATAATTGTGTATCGAATTGTTTCCTACTTTATCAAAGAATTGCTTTTTGCTAGAATTAGCGAACAAACCAGAATTTGAATCCAAGTAAGATCATTCGGCTATTTGCGTAGGCATTTGACAGACTGCCTAATTTGACTAATTGCTAGCGACAAATACATATCTATCTAAATAACGGGATGATTAAATGGTGCTAGTCCCACACTGTTTGCAGGGGGAAAAATACTTGGAAAAACCATGACCAGTGCAAGTCACAGTCTTCCATGTATTTTTGGCTGCTTGATTTTTCACTAGCATGTATATCTTCTCTGCGAATTTTCATTTTCCTCGAAAAAGTACGCTTTTGAAAGAGAATTCTGATTTTCTGGCAGATTAGAGGGTGTGAGGAGAAAAGTCAGGTCAATTTTGGACTCAGCATCGAAAGTTATGCTCCAGTCATCTATCAAATCTGCATTTTTTTTTTCAATGCAGACCTGTGTGGTTGATGAATTGTCCGTTTCCAAATCTTCAATGTTAGAGTACCAATGAGATTGAAAATAAAAACTGGTGCGCAGCAATTTGAGGGTTAAAATAAAGTGAAAATTAAATGGAAGAGCATGAAAAATATTCGACTAAGTTGAAAATGACACCATTAAGTTTATTTCTAAAAATGTGCAAATTGAAGTGTCATTTCATGTATCTAGAGCAATTGCTGATTAGTCAATGAAAAACAAAGTGTAGAATTAAACTGTAGTCTAAGATAATGAAGAATTGACTGAAGTAATTAAATTGATCGGGCAAATGATACTGGAAGTCGCCTAATGATTGATAAAGTTACCTTATGATGGGTTTTTGCTGTAATCATAAAAAAAGTTGAGTCCTACCCGTTACACACTGCACTGTCGTCACATCCTCTTAATAGTTATGGAGTTACTTGAAAATGAGCTGCAAAAAATCTGATATTCTTTTCCTGAATTTCTGTGACTATCCTGACTTTATCTTATTTTCCATTCTTTTGAACATATGTCTTCTAGGTCCCGCGCTCGTGATGCCAAAGATCGCAACGGTGATCTATGAAAAATATGAAACTTCGCACCAACAGCATACTTGGTTGTCCCAATCGCTGATGCTTTTCACCAGCAACCTAGTTTTTACGTCCAATTGTATTTTCTAATTACTGGAATTTATTTATTTTGATTTTCTCTTTAACTGCAATATTGTAAAAATTATTCAGTAATTCGGTAAGTTCAGATGAAGGAAGCCAAATTTTAGAAACTGACCGTGACCTGAAGTTGATGAAAAACATTCAGATCTCCAATGATGCATACCTATTTTGGTCGGGTTCAACGATATGAAAGGAGCAAAATTACTTTTTGTTAAAGTATCGTAGCTTTAATGATATCAGCAAGAACAATTGCAATTTCCTCTTTAATGTACTAGTTGATTATTTTAATTTAATTCATCTTTGACTTTTATGTTGCTTTGACGTATGAAGTAGGTTCTTTGGGTTAATGTAATCTCTAAGAAGGCTTGGTAAAATTTATGCCAAAGAATGGGACCAACTTTTGACCCCTCAAAAAAAGAGTGAAAATTCCAAAAAATGTAGCAGCTTAAGCACCGCAAGCACATGCAGATAACCTGCACCCTGATTTTTTTTTGCCGTGGCAAAAAAATCATGTGTACAACCCATACTGTGATTTTCAGCTGCATAATGTAAAAAAATAAGTGCAGGCTGTTTGCGGGTGGACATGGTACTGTTTTTGATTTTTGAAAATAACTTGGGTTTAAAATCTAACTGATCCTAAGTGTCATTTTAGTGATGACTATATGTGCGAAATGTCTTATTTTGAAATATTATCAACAATACCCCCTCTTTGTGTAAAGCATGAACAGGTAAAGAAATAACATCAACTCCTAAGAATTTGATTTTTAATATTTTAGTTGTAGACAGGCTGTTTTCATGTAGGCAGTTTATGTTCGCTGCAATTGTTTTTTAAATTCGTACTGACCATCCCAGATAAATCCATAAGTGTATTCTCCAAGATTTGGTTATCCGGGGAATTGTGAAACTACATTGAGAATCACAGGTTAATTCAAGTCATGATGTTGGTTTGATGTCTTTTTGAATAGTAAAATCGGAGCTTTTGAAGCTCAGAACTGAGTAATGCGATTTCTAGTTTCACAGTTGATATGTTTCTTCATCAGAATTCCATGTAGAACTTGATGGACACACTAAAAATTGCCAAATAAAATTTTTGGAGGCGTCGTCAGCTGAGTTGGTAGTTGTTTACTTTTGACGAGTAGTAGACTAATTTACGTCTCTGCGCACATTGGCAGGGTTGCTCGCCATTATGCCTGGGTTGTTCCTTATTTGCTATCGGACAACCGGAAATTTGTCGCTTGCAAACGGAAATTAAACAACTTTCCAAATGACTGACGACACCCATAAGAGCAAAAGTCAAAAGTAGCATTTTATGATCTCAGTGATGCAAATAACCAGTCTTATCAAAAAATCTAGGTCTACTTTAGCCAAATCGTTCATCACCAGCTACATAATTTTTGCTTACTTTACGGAGAAATAATTCGATCCGAGTTCTGAAGTTCATTCTTAAATTGAGAAGTATTAATCATCAAAAAAGAGAAAATGTATGTGCAATCAATTCTTAGTTATTTTTCAAATGTTCTTAAATTTTCAACGGCCGATGTGACCTATTTTACACTGTTTTTTCAAGTAGAGTATTCAAATTTTCTAATCTTAATGTGCACTATGAACTCCTGTCATTCACTAACAAGCTGATTTTGCACCTTTTCTCCTACATGTTCAGTGTCAAATTTTCATGAGGGCATATGTTTCGTGGTGTATTAATTCTTAACTGGTCTAGTTGTCCATCGGAAAAACCACAAATTATCAAATAATTTCTTTCACATCAGGAAAATGCATCAAGAATCTTGCCAAATCAAAGAACACTAAGCTGCAAGGGATTTTTCAGCTGCATATTGTCGAGAATTTGATGATTTTTTACTGTTCATCTGGAATAAATTTATGGATGTATCCGGGAATTTTTTTCTACACAAAACTAAACACTGTGAAATCTACTTTCAATGTTGAGAGCCGATTCTTTTGTCCACCCCATAAAGTTCCTAAATCTTACCGCAGCTTTAATTACTTTTCTGTTAAAACTCTTTTTTTATTTTTTGATGAAAGAATCAAAAGAAACTCCACCCAAGAGATCTAATAGGTTTTTCTGGATCACATATTTATTCATCTATCTAGATACGTAGGCCTTTTCCTTTAATTTGTTGTATTTTGTGAATTTTAATTTCATAAGTAGGGTTTCGTGCTTTACTTATGATTGCTCGTTTTTTTGAAAAAAAGTATTTCCTTTCCTGTGTTCAATGTTGAAATTCTTGGTATGATTGGTTTAAAGCTTTAATTGGTAAAAATAAATGTAAAATGTAAAATTTCTTTATCGAGTTCTTCCTCAAACCATCATCATTACATTAACTCCTAATAGGACGTATTTCTGTCAAACGGAACTAAGCGCCAATTTGAGTTCCTTTTGAGGAATTCAGAATCCCAGATAGCGCGTTCTGTCCAACGGAACTAAGGGCCATGGAAAGGCATTGCGAGAATAGGACGGAACGAGCAGGACGCCCGTTTCCGCTGCCAATCCAAGCCCCCCTCTACCTTCCTCCCCCTATAGCGCTTGGCTCCGTTTGATAGAATTACGTCCAATAGGTCAGTTGCACCAGTCACGAACTCGTGTTTTGATGGTTTAAGCTTTTCAATTAGCAAAAAATAATAAGATCTGTTCACATGCCCAGTCTCTGCATTCAATACTAACAGAGATGACCCCCTTCAAAAAGCATGGTGTCATCCTTTGGCACACAGCGGTTTCTTCCACCTTGGATTCATCAGTTAGTGATACGCACATTTGTTTTGGTTGCTTGATTTGAAATACGAAGGAAACTGAGTGGAACGGAACTTTAGTATGCATCACCGCGATGGATGACATCTCACTCCATATTCTTCAAGGGACTCCATTATTGGACTTAGAAACTTGTTTTTTGACAGGTTCTCTTGTTTTTGGCTGATCTATAATCTAAAATCATAAAAACAAGATTCTATGACCAGCACAAATGACTCATCGATAACTATTTTATAATTTCATCCTGTTATCTTTGTTGTTTGTTCAGATACATTTTCACCAACAGAACGCCAAGAAGTAAATTAAAGCCAGCAGATCCTAAAGAATTTAAGGAGCAGAAATAAAAACAATTCTTAATTTTTAGGAACAGTAATAGAAGATTTTTTTTTTTCTTTTTTTTTCATACAAATCTTTTAAACAACTGAACATTAAAAAAGGCTTAACATTGCACAAAAACAAACGCTTCACAAAAGTGTCAAAATTCAATTGAAAAATTAAATGTTCAATTAAGAGACAAGTTACATACTAATAAGAACTGATCACAGGATGTGTTACTATTTTCATTATTATTCGCGACTCCTGACTAACGCTTGTCTAATTTGTGGCACAAAGAACTGTTAATCTTACATGAAGAAATAAAAAATAAAACACACAGTGAAAACGGTAATGCCACTGTTAAACAGTAAAACATACGGTTAACCCCTAAATTAGTAAAATGTGCCTGATGTTTGTCACATATTAGTAGGGAGCACCAATCAGATGATTTTACCAATTTAAGAGTTGACCATATTTTTTATTAACATACTATTGATGTTACCACGAGTAATGATAGGGGCTTAAACATTGTTGGTAGCAAAACTTCTATTAGAGGACAACCATTCGTATGTTTACTTCAGTGATTGCCTGCAAAATTAATGGTACTTAAAGTAATTAATAAATGGTACTTTTGAGGATTGAGGAGTCAGTCTAACTGGCTATTGAGAAAATAGAACTTGCTAACAGTATGAGCTAGGAAAAGTGTTAACCCAATTTTTAGTTGAATTTGGAGATATGTTCAATGAGCTCTCAGCTTTTGCAACTGACAAGATTTTAGTTCAAATCAACACGGAGTCTGGCGGCTGAACAGTTCAACGGTAACTGGGTATTGTTTTGATATGTGTGTGTGACTGTCTACTGAGGGGGGGGGGGGATTGCATTTTTTAATGTAAAACACTCAAGAATTCTTAAATATAGATACTGTTAGTGGTGACATAACGTCACCATGGGAATTCTCCGTTACATCCAATTGGATTCAAACAATAACAAGGACATAACCTTTTTCAATTCTACCAATGCGAAAAAGTCAATACAGATCGTTTTTCTGTAATGTAGCACTAATAACGTCTAAAAGTTGAGGTGCTAACAGTTTAGTACGATTTCATCCAAATGCAAGGCATGAGGTTGCATTTAATGCACCGATTTTGAGCTTCAAGCATGACAGATTTGAACTTCAAATACTTTTTTGCTGCAACCTTCAGAATTCAATCTATTAACTTCAAACCCTCATAACTTAATTTAGTTGGAGGACTATAGGGGTTTTTGTGCTAAAATTTTTATGAAACAACCTTCCCTCAGCAGCAGGCCAATGGACCACTAGACAAGGTGCGCATTTAACGCGCACTTCTGACGCATGTTTCTTAACCAGAATTTCATGTAGAACACGATTCTTGCATCAACAATTACTGAAATTAAATCCTAAGATATTAACATTTTAATTTTACATTAACTACGGGAAATTTTAATTGCCCGGTCACAAGAAACAGAATACTCTACATGAGTCGAATCGCGCACCATAACGGTTTTCGCAGGTTTCTCAATCGAACATTGTTCATTGCCCACCCTTTATTGTTCAAAGTGTAACCAATTTGCTATAACTGAACCAAAGCGTTAAGATTGAGATTGCTATATTTTCGTATCGCAAAGACTGCCGCGGTAGCGTTTAGTTTGCGATCTGATGTATGTTGACCATTCCGTTTTCATGAGCAAGAGGTTAGAATTCGCGCGTCAAGAAACATTATATATCTTGGTCAGGAGTCAATTTCAGTAATTTTCGTTGCACAAATCTAGTTCTATGTTAAATTTTGGTGAAGAAACATGTATCAGAATGCTTACTTCGTAAACTTGTCTGGTGGTCCATTTTTGAAACTTAGCCGGCACAACAAGGCTAGACATATAGCCCTCTTACTCATGCAATAAATCGCATTTCGACGTCCAATCGAGCTGCTTTACAGTTTCAATGATCAGCCAGCAGCAGTATGAATATCTTAATTTAGAGGGCCAATATGAATGTTACTTCCATGGAAAAAGACTTTGGTCCATAAGGAAAAATTATTTTGTAGATTGGTTTTTGTAAAGTAGGATCGAAAAACTGTGTTTTAAGATTTCCAAGGAAAAATCTTGAAAGTGTCCTGAAGAAAAATTAGCAAGTGCTTAAATTCATTTTCATACTAACAGAGGGCATAAAATAGCAGTGCAATCTAGCAATTTTGTATCTTGAGAGGACTTGAATTTTAAATAGCTCTTCACCGTAATCATAACGCATAGAACCGGAGAGTCATCTGTCAAATATCTCATTAACCTGACGTCAGGCAGACACACCAGAAAACAATATTAATGTTACATTTGCCAATCCTACTGAATTAACTACCATCTTACTGAGAGATGGTATGCTGCTAATGGTTTAAAAATCACTGTATAGAGAGGAGTTCATTGTAGGATTAAAATTTCTGTCCAGTAATAATTTTTAACCTGATTATCAGAAGACAACAATTTGTGCTCATAAATCAAGCTCTATGTGCAACTTTTCTCTGGTCGAGGGATGCAATGAAAAAACCTTGTCTTTGTCTTGAGAGTCCCGAGGTTAACTTATAAAAAGGAACAATTACTTATGTTTATTGGCGAAAATCCTTCAAATGAAAAGCATACATGCAGCTTTGAATCTTGTTGAACTTATGGGAATACTCCTTAATCTGAAAATTTTTTCAACACAAAAAAGAAGGAAATACTAGATTTTCCTTGGTAAAGTATACACAAAAAAGTAGAACAGCAGGAAATTACAATTAGAAACTGATAGCAATCCCTGACAATTTTGATAAAAGAAGACTATTTTTTCTCAAGAGAGAGTGCTACTAGTTAGCTCAGCTTTAAAGAATAATAATTATGCATTATAAAAGCATATGAAGAGCACATTGTTGCAAGATAATTCTGAAAAATCACCACTTTCCCCCGTTAATACCTATATAAAATATTCACATATATCGCACAATCTGGCAAATTTGAATGAGCATGTCATATGACAAGATGTCCCTTTGACTGGGGGCTGTCCATGAAACACATAATTTTTCAACAGGAGAGAGTTTTGCAAAGTAGAAATAAAACTTCTTTTATTCCTACTTTAAGCATTTTCCTTTTTCCTTTTTTCCTTGAGCATTGATTTTACCCAATAAGTCTCACATTCTCTAATTTATTAGGTAGAATTATAGAAGTGATTGAAACATTGGACAGTTGTTACACGATGCAATACAAGCGAGGATTAAAAAAAAAAATAATTAGAGAAACAGCTTTGCATATTTCATGGATAGCTTCAAAAGAGAAATGTGGACCCAGCGAGATGAGAGGCGGCAAGTCGATGGTAAAACTGCAGAAATCCATATCTTGGTTTGCTACGTTGCTGACTTCCTATTATACTTCGTTTTCTGCATGAAAAACCATTAAACTTCAATTCTGGAAAAACTCAGTGTTTGTCCTCCTCTATGTGAAGAATATTCTATGATAATTTCAAGCCATGATGTTGGTTGGGTCTTCTTGTACAAGATAAATTAGGAGCAGAATTTTATAAACATCACAACCAAGATACTCATTCATACAGTTTCACCTTTGAAATGTATTGTATACCCAGGTGAAAGTTTTAGGGAAAATACTTTTGGACTGACAAGGGGAGGCTACCGATTGTCCACCTCAGATCGGGTTCAAATTTGGCAGAGAGGTAGAATAGGTTAATATAAGAACCCGTATTTTTTTTTAGGTGCCAATGCCCAGCCGTTTTTGAGTTATGAATTTTTGAAGTTGCCGTTTTTTCGTGTCAGCGACGCGCTCAAGTTGAGCCTACTGTGCGCGCACCTTTTAATGCGATCCGAATGTCGTAACGATCATGTGAGACAGTTGTCCAAGCGGTAGCGCGCTTGCCTATGGTGCTTCAGGTTCGGAGTTCGATACTTGTTCCGCGAGTTTAATTTTTAAAATTGATTATTTTGTTTTTTAATCGCTTCATCACAAGAAATAGTAAGTCACCTTGTAGACGTTATGATTCTAATAATTATTTTTTATGTATATTTTTTTTTTATTTTTTTTAATGAGTGTCTGACAAAAAAGGGAAAAAACATAATTAGCATCACAACGTCTACAAGGTGACTTACAATTTCTTGTGATGAAGCGATTAAAAGACAAAATAATCAATTTTAAAAATTAAACTCACGGAATAAGTATCGAACTCCGAACCTGCAGCACCATGGGCGAGCGCGCTACCGTTTGGACAACTGTCTCACATGAACGCTACGACATTCGGATCGCATTAAAAGGTGCGCGCACAGTAGGCTCAACTTGAGCGCGTCGCTGACACGAAAAAACGGCAACTTCAAAAATTCATAACTCAAAAACGGCTGGGCATTGGCACCTAAAAAAAAATACGGGTTCTTATATTAACCTATTCTACCTCTCTGCCAAATTTGAACCCGATCTGAGGTGGACAATCGGTAGCCTCCCCTTGTGAGAGAAATTTATTAAGTATTTTATGCACCCCTCCGACGCCTTAGACTTTATGATCCTTCTAAAAATTAATTTTTTTCTTCTTCTTTCCTCAATGTGAGAGAGTCTTACAAAAAAGTTACGTAGGAAAATACATTTTTTTCCAAAAATGGTGAAATTTGAACTAAAGTTTATGTTTAAATGCCATTCATTGATATTTTATTTTTTTTTGTCAGGGGTAAAAGTCAAAGGTATTAATTGTTTTGATGGAAATCATATGCTATATGACATGATGTCACATGAACATGCTAAAAATACATCTTTGTATCATTGTGTCTTCATGATAACGACTATAGATTAAAATTCTTACACATTCAAAGAGAATCACAGATCAAAATTTCAATTTTCTGAACAGATAAAAGGCAAGAACTTCACTGTAGTGAATTCCATGTCTTGAGAAGTGAGAAAAAAACTCACTAAAACTCTAATTTGATCAATACCGGTTGATGATATTAAAAAAGTAAAGCTTACAATTCTAGTGGTGTAAAAATTAATTAAAACATATTTGATGTATACTTAAATGCACCGTAAATTTAAGGATTCACAATTCAGGAGAAAACTCCTTTCTGGAGAGGAGAGATATTTATCAGACTTCCCTTGAGTTAAAACCAATGTTACGATAATTTTTGGGCGATCCAAATATCATCCATAGCTGAGAGTGTAAGCTCTTCCTCTGGAAGGGCTGATATTCGTTTTAAATCTTCTAAGTAAAAAGTTAGTTCCGATGTTACCATCCTGGAATGAAAGAAAACATAAGTGAATAAATATAAAAAAATACAGGAAAGGTAAGTTAAGTTTAATATTTCAACTGCGGAGCATGATAATAGTATTCTTGATTTTCAATACAACTTGACTCAACTCAAACTCAACTCAAACTCAAACTCAACTCAAACTCAAACTCAAACTCAAACTTGATTTTCAATAAATGCAACACCTTGCATTTGGTGCAATACTTGAGATTAGTAGCTTGACTTACTATTAATTTTTTCTTTCGGATTGCTCATCGACATTGCATTATTAGTACTCGCTGGTAACTTGTCATAAGCTTACGGGTTGATTTTTGAATTTGATAGACAAAGCGATAGACAAATGCGATAATGGATTGCTCCTTTTGATGGAGACAGGAGGTTGAAATAGATAAATGAGGCACATAATAGACTAACTAACGTTGACCCATGCAAGATCCTTCAGTTAGTAATGATGGGAGCCCTGAACTATCCTGTTTTTTGAGAGGAAATACAACCAAAATAACTTTATGAAGACTCAAAATGGAAAATTTGACCTATCACAAAGCAGGAAAGTTAAAAGAAATCAAGACTGTAAAAGTCTACCCCTCCTTTCTTTTACAAAAACTGAAGTTTTCTTACCTTGAGCTTCTTTCAACACGTACATATGTTGCTACAGACTTTAGAGAGAAAAATTCCAAACATTTTCGGGGTTTTTTACTTTTTTCTGATCAAATGACATACATTTTTTAATTTTTTGATCCAGGCTCTGCAGTTATGCATTGAAAAAGGTGTAAGTTTTTATTTTCAATTTTACACCTCATTTAAAAAATCGAACGCATTTTAGCAATTTTCTCTTGTCTCAGAGTTGTCTCATCTTTAGAGTTGTCATTTCTTGAAATCTTCGTTTTGACAGTCATGAAACAGTGAGGGGCCAAAAATATAAAAAATTCCTATCGTTTCCTTGACATTTTCATTGTTCGAGATCCCTGAGTGATTTTACGCAACCAGAATTTTCCTTATTTCTCAATGTTGCACTCATACTCATTTTCAAAGCTACTCAAATAGAGGGAAAGTTTAGAATCACCATGAAAATGATATTGGAAAGCGATTTTTCATTTTTCAAATGGACGGAGATAATGAGATGAAGAATTAGTTTCAATGGGAACTCTTACCCATGTTGGGGCCCTCCATTGTTAATGATATTCATCCTCAGCAAATGGTTGCGAAGACTATCCTTGAAGGCAACATTGATCAGTCTATACAACTCATGGACTTGATTTTTAGGTAGAACACAGGCAATGGCCTCATGAAGTTTGCATAAATACCTACAAAGAAGAAAAAACATTAGATTAAAATAAAAGGCACCTATGATAGAGATAATTTCAAGCAAGTCAAAAGCCTCAATTACATACAAATTCAAGCTTCCTACTTTACTCATTAGGGTACGTACGATTTTGTAAATGATTTTTTTTTCCTGAGGCCACTTTTTAACTTTTCTGAGCAAAATTTTGCTCATGCAAGAGAGTGTTTGTGTGCGCGCGCATGCATGTGTGTTGTGTCTGTTGAGATGATAAAGCTTTCTCTATAACACTGTTCTGCAATCATTCTCAAAAACAACACATATTTATTTAATAGTTTTTAGCACAATAAGTGGCTCCGGTGGCCAAAAACTTAAACTAAATTACGTTTTGAAATTATAAAATACTATTTCTGGTTAATAAAGCACCTTTCTGCATAGGAAAATGGCTCATGTGCTGTTTCTAAAATGAGTCAAAATAACAGTTCCATTTTGCAAAATGATGCTCTTGTGCCTGCAAAAATTAGTATTTGATTGGAAAAATTTCATTTTACACTAGGCACCAAGAACATATTACCAACGTAACAAATTAATAAAATATAAAATATAGTAAAAATTTGAGTTCATCTTGAGGAATACATAATAAAAGTTGCATTTCAATTTATTCTTCGTTCGCAAAAGGGGAAACTTTGCCAAAACCAATTTAACATTAATTTTCTGGATAAAATCGTTCAATATCGAGAGACACCTTTCCTTTTTGCTTTTTTGCTTGCTTGACTAGAACCCACTAGGGCTGTTCTATCGGTTGTCGGTAAGCTACCGAAACAGTTCCGTTAAGAAAAAGTTACGATAAGAGCGCTCTTGCCGATAGCGATCAGAGTTTTCAGAGCTGATGAAAATAAGCTGTTACCATTTGTACATCTATTTCACGCGCACCAGGCAATCTGATAAACTAACGCACGGGGCAACAATGCATCTAGTCCGAGCTCTCAAAAATCCGATAAGGCCGGCTGTTATTGATATCATCGCCACTGTCGGTACTGCCGCCAGTTTCAATAAGAGACGATATCGATAGTGTTCCGGCAAGAATTCCTTTGAACACCCCTAGAACCCACCCGAGCTGAAACTAGTTTGTCAAACTGATTGCATGCGAGTAACAGAATCATTAGGTTTTGGTTTTTTGCATTCAAAAAAATTCTTTGAAACTCTTTCTATGAATTGCTCTTCAAATTTCAATTGGATAAGACTTCATAAGAATTTGAATAAATTGCAACACTTACTTGCACAAATTTTGAAACGACTTGGAGGGTATTGGAGGCTTGGCCTCCCATGACCTTAACTCATTATCGACTATTTGATTGACTATAGAAATGAGTTTCCCTTGAATATCTCGAGCATGCGTTTTCATTTTCTGCGCAACTGTATCCAGACTTGTCACACTTGTCGTTTCTGATATCAGACCTGTCAGCAACAGGGAAATTCGATATTATTGAAATAGGATAAAGCAATAATAAGGAAGCATTTTACATGGGCAGAAATATGATTAAAATACGATTTAATGGTATAAAAACATATTTTTTTCACAATTTTTGGAGATGAAATTTTTCAAGTTCATTTTAAGATGCCATAGGTCTTTTCTATTAAATTTAACAAGGTAAAAATAAACTTGCTCTGATTGGCTGAAATATATTTTTTTGTCTGGGGAGATACAGTTTCTGAAGAAATCCTGACGGGTAAACAGTGGATATAAAATCGCTGGAGCAATGTTACTACTGAATTTGACATTGCAATAATGTTCTTACTTTAGTTTTTATAACATTATTTTTTTCACATTATTCAGTTGGAAAGAAGTTCACCTATAAACGGAGGTTTTTTAAAAGGCCTAAGTGCGATAATTTAAGACTAATTCAAGTATCGAAGTACATAAAATTAGAAGAAAGAGAAGTTTCTGCATCCCTAGTGGCAACCCTCACCCTGCAAGGATGGCATGAGTCGTTGTTACGCCACCATACCAATATGATATGCAGTGAAACTTTGTAATCAATTTACACCAGCTGTCAAATTATAAACTCTTATTCCTTCATAAACCATGAAACTGTAGGAACACCTATATCGTTGGTGGTGTTTTAAAATCTCCACTCCCATTTTATTTTATCCAAGGAAAACAAACCACCTCTATTGCTAACAATTTTCACAAAATATTCTCCACACAGAATGGAAAATTTAGGGAAATTTTCAGGAAATAATATTGATTAATTTTACATTTAAAAAGTGAAGTATGACAGGAAGTCTGCATCGTCACAAATCAAGATACGCATTCCTGCCGTTTCACTGTTGATACAAACTACGCAGGTAAAAAAATAATTCATCATTTGATACGTGGTACATTCTGCTTGGTTTTGCATTCCAGTACATGAATGATTTTCTGTTTGTATATTGGTTCCGAATTCTTACGTTGAAAATACCTTTAATAGGAAAAAAACCAAGATAAAAATTGAATTAGCCCTGAAGCCAGAACTAAATTGGTGATGGTAATTTTTCTTAAATCATGCGATCTTCTTGGGCTTGGCATTATAGGGGTTCTTACCTTGAAAATGAAGTTTTACAAATGGAATGAGCCACAAAAGAAGCTGAATTGCCCGCAAAGCCAGCGCTAAATTGGTACTTGTTATTTTTCTTAACCTATTGATTGCCACTGCCTCGGCTCCTAAAACTAATTGGGACGATCGTGCATTGTACAGTTGAAGTAATTCCGACACATAACGCAGAAGTGATTGAGCAGAGAGGGTAAGATCCTCTGCTTTTATGCAATAATCTGCTACCATGCTAATTAAAATTAATACAGTTCTGAAACAAAAAAATGCTCCATTAGTTAATTTTTTTATACAAAAAATGCGAATTTTATACTGAGAAAATTCATGTCACGATCTAATTTTTATTGAGCTAACATTTGATTATTGGCGTAAGTAAATACAAAATCTGGAGAAATTTTGAGTAATTTACTTCATTTTTGTTGAGTTTATGTGTCACTGGATTACTTACGCACTTTTCCTAGGTGCTCCTGAGGATTTTTTCTAGAATAAAAATGGTCTCATCATTTTTAGAGAGACTGCAGTAAAATTTTTTCTAAAAAAATCTAAATTCTGATGAAAAAAAAAACTCACCCTACAACGGCAAAATGCTCATTGCCTACGACTAGAGTGCTGCTAGATTTTCCATTCTGCTCAAGTTTGAATCTATCTTGTTCTTCTTTTGATACACTGAATTTACCTGGCAAAAACAGAAAGAAGATAGAGAAGTGGAGCATGATGCCTAGACACTTTAAATTTTCTCATTCTTTGGTATTTCTCTCATTTCCAAGAGCCGATTTCTTAATGAAAACCTAGGGTTCTCTTTTTCCTTAGATCCTCTAAAAAACCCTTGATTATTTTATTGAGTTCAGAACAAAACTATACAAAACTATTAATTTTAACATAAAACGGCTCATACTCTAGGATCAAATCATTGCACACCATCAGGCCATTAGAAAACCTTGATCAGAGAGCCAAAAACTTCTGCACCGACTAAATTTTTTTTTCATTTAATATCATGTCCTTCTGACCTTCTGAGAGCGATGAGCTTTAAAAATTGAACTCTCTGTATGCCAAGTTTGGGAAAATAAAATAGGGACTGAGAAGTGAAATTTTCAGCATTTTTGAACATATTATCTAATAGAAATATAGTAACATCCGCTCAAGGAGAGCTTTTGTTTCTTTGCTGGCAAGGAAGATCAGACAGATGAAAAGATTTCAATTAGTTCAAGTGACAGCAGCATATGGCTCAGCATCCACTCACCAGATCGACAACCCAACACTTTCATGAAAGAACGCATTTAAGAATGCCGAAATTTTCCCTTTCCTGACCTCTTTTACTCAACGTTGGCACATACTAAGTTTGATGGAAAGTTTACCTTGTTTAAAATGTTGTAAAAAACATCTAACTAAATAATAAAAAAATTTAGCCGGCGCCAAATTTCTTGGTATTCCGTGCAGGGTCCTTTAAAAACAAAGTACTCCCACAGCAAGAAGAGGGGAAATGCCCATATTGTAATTTCACCTATTTTCTGACTTAAATTGAATTTGGAAAGCAGTGCCAACTCGGGCAGTATGTATTAATCTCTGAAAAGAAAAGACATCAAATAAATTGTAAATATGAAAAATGAAAGAAATGAAATTAAAAGAGCATTTACGGCGATTTTGAGTGAGTGAATGTAAAATAACGAGCAACAGTACCTGATTCAGCGATCTGATTGACTAAAAACTGGAATTCAATAGGAACTTCAGCTTGCTTCCACGTCTCACTATCCAAGATTAAGCGTAATTTTGTGGTCTTATCAGAATGGAATCTCTGCATGAAAGAATTTGACTGAAAACAAAATTTACACAAAATTATGAGGAGGTAGCACCATGATGAGAGGAAAACTTACACCAAAAATATGTGCATATACAGATTCTAACGGTTTCATGACTTCCTCTCGGTGGCGATTCTTGAAAGATGGCACCACTGTTTTTCCTTCATTTGAATGTATGTAAAATAATGAGGTGAAGCAACTTACTTCACCTAACATCAATATTTTTAATGGATTTAAATGGAGACAAAGCAATCTTGCCAACATGCAAAATCGCTACGGCTTCCACTAAAACTTGGTCATGCTTTTCGTTTTTGGTAGAATTTTTGGTCCATTTTCCTCAGAAATGAGAGGCAGTTGCTCTTTTAACAAAAACTCCTTACTGAGCGATGGGTCAGTTGCGCCTGTTACAGAATGCTGTCTTGATTGTTTGAGCTGATTGAGCAGCAAAAAATAATAAGATCCACCTCAACGCCAAATTTTGACAAAACACTTACGTATTATACAAATACTTTGTAAGGGGTCTACGGACTGAAGGGAATAATTGAACTCAACACACGAATATTTTAACGTACCTGAGACTTGAAGGCAGAGCGTAGAGAAGAAACAAAGTTATCTGCACAAGCAGCTTCACATTCGTTGCAAAGGATATCTACAGATTTGGAGAGCTCGCTTAGTTGAGTTTGCGTTGCTTGTTCAGCTAACCAAAACGAAGGGCTACTATCACCGTTTAAATTTGGTCTGTCTTTATCACTAAAATTAGAAAGAAATTGAAGTGAGGATGATTAATTTTTACCGTTGCAATTTTGAGACCACATATGTGCAGTGTACACTGAATTTAAAATTCACTTAAAGTATTATGATTTACATACATGCTGAGTCAGAGGCAGAGAATCCATATTTTGCTTTGAGTCCGCTAATTTTGAGATCAAATTCTTTTGTTTCAAGGAATAAGATACACTTTACATGTTATATTTACAATAATTGAAACATGTTCGGCAGGAAATTTTTAAGAGGAAACATCCTTTCAAACATCTAATTCTCGCCATGTCTTATGCTCCATTAGAAAAAAACCCATCCAGTTCATCTCGGCCTTTTTCAAGAATTTAATTTGAAAAGCTCCAAATAACAGCCAAAAATATCCAATCTTCAGAGTTTCATTTAACTGCTCTAAGGACATCATTTTATGCACAGATAAGTTGGGCTTTAAATCAAGGTTTTGTAGCAAGATGCATTAGGAATGCTCGCTGAAACATTCCTCTACTTGTTTGCTGGACATCAGGTTTTACTAAAAGTGAGAGCGAAAATTAGTACTTCCACTAAAAATCATTAAAAACTAAAGTTTCCTGAAGTTGAAGCACAAGAATTATTTGAAAAGGAGGGAAAAGAACTTACCGAGACTCATTATTGGTAACTGATCGACTGGATAATAACTGTGCACACCTATCTTGAGCATATTTACAACACGAAGACATCAGGGATTTCAGTTTTTGAATCATTCTTTCATAGTCTTCTTCTGATAAAAAACACTCTGGGGTAGGTTCAGTTCTGAAAATGAGAAATGCATTATTAGGCTTGTTGTGGAAAGGAAAAAAAATAGAATTCAGAGCGAAGAACCTAAAAAATTTCGTTGTTTCCCATGTGAAGGAACATAACTCCATTCCAATGTTGCCAGACTGACTTAAACAATTCAATTTTTCGACGAGAATATAATCGTAAAATTGCTGTGCAAATTATTTTGGATATCTGTATGAGATCAGAGGAAACATGAATTCAATTCTCAGCTAGAAATGCCAAGGATCCTCCTGGTAAAAATGCAATTCGTAAAAAGGAATTTCGGCAACATTAAGTTAGTGTTACCTTCTTTGGTGAGGGAGATAACGATATTTGAGTGAAATAGAAGTAATTAAAAGTTACATTTGAAAATCATATTATGCCTGATTTGTATAAGAGAAATGATAAATCATTTGTTCAAAATTGCTGATGACCCCGACTATTTTCTTTCTTAAGAGAGGGAACAATTTTTTAAATTACTTCAAAGACTATCAAATAAATTATAAATGCTACCATTTCTTTTTTGTTAGAGAATTGAAGACAGAAAATGATTGTGTTAAAAAACAAAGGCGTTTCATGAGTTCGCATTTTAAAATATTCATGAAAGAGATAGATACATACCTTTTATCAGATGATGACGTTTTCCGCCTACTAACTTCTACTGCCTCTTTCATCACATCGTGAGCAGCCTGAAAAATAATTTCATTCACCATTAAAATCTTTTGAAATATTGTTTTTTCCATCTTTTTGACAATTTCATCAAGGCTCGGATAAGAATTATCATAGAAGAGTAGAGGCCTTTTCACATATAAAATAGAGATCACTAGAATGTGATTTAAACCAACCTTGATTCGTTTGACTAGGTGAGATAAGGCAACTGCAACAATCCTCATTAATTGGATCCACTCTTCGACAGTTAAAAACTTCAGCTGATTGTCGAGACTTTGGTGCTCGCTAGCTGAGCCATGATGGTCTGACTCACTTCTCGCAACTATCTCTGTAACGCATGAATTAACAGCTGCTCTTATCGCATCGACAACTTCTTGACGATAGGCATCAACAAAATCAAAGTAACGTCTGCGCAGCATCCCCAGAACAATGCAGGATAGTTTTTCCTACAATCAGAGAAAAAATGATAATCAGATTCGAAGCACTTAAAATTAAAATGAAAGTGAAGGATAAATGACTTCTAAGAGGTAAAAATGACAAAGATTTCATTGAAAATAAACTGCACATTTTCACCATTTTTATGCAACAAGTGTTAGATTTTTGCGGAAGAAAGACATTAAATAAATTGTTCTCTAATTAACCAAAGCACAAATTTCACGAATCATTGAAGAACAAAAAAGTACCATTCAATCTTCTGTGAATCATTCCATTCTGAAAAACATACGTTCCTCGTTAAAGAGAGTGCATAAATCAAAATACAAAGATTTTCACCATATGGAGTTGTTCCATTTCTCATCTTCCTCCAATTTGTGAAAAAAGAACATTTGTTGATTAAAAAATCCATACTTTAATGGTGAGGAGATAAATGATATGGTGCTTTCTTCAAATCAGCTTGGTGTTTCACTTTTTTATACTTTGAAGAGCTTCAACTTAGATAAGGCCATTATTAGGCCTAAGATGAAGCATAGTCCTATAAATTGAAGTAAAAGGTAGTCTTTTACAGGTGCTTTTTAGGTGTCCGATATTCTTGAAATAAATTCTCTAACTGTCCCCAATATATTGACAAAGAGTTCAAATGCGTCAGTGCAAGGAATAATGAGGGAAAGGAGGATAGGAAAGTCTGACTTCATTTTTTAAATGTCATACAAAAGCAATTTTCAGCGACATTCTAAGAATTTCAATACTACTAATACTGAGGTATTTTTACAGAATTCTCAGATGAGATGATATCATGGCAAGGGAGNGGGGGGGGGGGGGGGGGGCTCAACTTCAGACCGTTGAAGGAAATAATATTGGAGTAAGGGTTTAACATTCTCAGTGGTAGGAGGAAAAGCAGATCCTGTCGAAAAATTCCTCCATGTGAAATAATATTTTTAAAATTTAGTGCCACTCTTTAAGTTTACAAATAGTGATGCGTATAAGTCCCCTCTCTGGAGAAAATCTATAAAATCTTTTTTCCTTAGATTGCTGCAGTTTTTATTCCATAATTAAGTTGGAAAGATTGTGCGTTAAGAAGGATTGCATGACGCTAATTAAGCTGCAGAAAAAAAGGGTTTGATAGGATGAGGATGAAAAGAGGCGGAAGCACCAAAAATCCCAAGCAGCCGACACCTCTGAAAATAAATATGAACGAGATAATACCGTATTGGACAACACCATCATCTGTGGAGGGATGATAAAAACAAAAGAAAACAAACAAAAAACGCATTAATGTCTGCTCAAAATAATGTTATTTTAAACAATAATGTAAGAAACGACTCAGGAGAGTTACAGGACCTTCAATTGAGATCTTGGAGAAAAAAATCATTTACCTAATGATTTAAAGTGGAGAAAAATCTAGTATTTTAAAAAAAAGAAAGTTTGGAAAGCAGCGTACATGATTACGAAAGGCATCGGATGAGTGAATGTTAGTAAAATTATCACAATTTCCACCAACGACAAAGTCAAAAATCACCATTCAGAGTCCTAGGTTTTTTTTTTTTTTTTTTTTGTAATTTTTCCTTATATATTTATGATAGGGTACACATGAGATTCTAGTGAAATTTTTTTCAGTTCAGAGAGTTAGCTTCCAACAGAATGAGAGACAAAAATTTGTCAGGTGAGAAACAGAGCGGACAATACAAATCATATAAATTCTTTCGGCACAGATGAAAAGTAAGCAAAATGATTTAATGATAGGTAAAGGCGTAACATACAGTAGTAGATGAAAAAGTATGCAGAGATAGACACATCCTTGCTCTGCTGGTGCTTAAATTTTTCTGCTACTTACAATTGGACAATATTAATGAGAATCAGCCTAACTAAATTTTACATTGCCTAATTTTCTCCAATTTTTCGTTTAAAAAAAAACTAAATAAATAAAAAAATAATGCCTTGAGCCTCTATGTGAAATTCTCAACAATTATTAGGAATTTACTCACAAAATTACACATCAGAATGTTGGCTTCATTCCTGTTAAAAAATAAAATACCGGAGGAAATTAGGCAATATCTGACGTAGTTAAGTTGATTCTAGTTAAACCCATCCAATTCAGGGTATTATTTTATTAGGATTTTTTAGATTAAAAAGCTGATAGGTAGTCTAGTTTTCTGAAACATATTCCACCATATGTCGTTTTAAAAATGCAGCTGAGCCCTTGAAAGTAATAAGTATGTCCGCTTGAAGGTAGTCCACAATGCACTGAAAGTTCTTTCTTTTGCATTACCGTAAAAATTCATACCTTAACCTATTAATTTATTGACGTACAGACTTTGAGTGAGTAAAATACAGCAAATAAATGTATACTGTTACGTATCAGAGAAAATTTGAATTTTCAAGAAAAAAAATAAAGATTTTTTTCTTCTAATGAGAATTTGCCTTAAATAAATATATAAATTAATTATCAAACTTTCCTGTCTAACAATATTTCAAGGAAAAATACCTTGAATGTTAAATTAAACTGAAAAAGTAAGTCTTTATTAAAAACAAAGAGTAGGAGAGGAAGCAAAGAGAAAACAAAGATTAAACTCACCCCTTCCAGGATGTTAGCCTGAGAATCCAAGAGAGGTCGATTAAGATCTGTCGTGGCATATTTCTGAAATTCACCTGCCATCAGATTGTCAATTAAGAAGAGCATCTCATTCAACTCAGAGTTTAGGTTGCGGAAACTGTGAATACCTGCTAATTCTTGTGATAACAGATCTTGTGTTGTATGAATTAAATCTAAGGCAGCAACATAGTCAGGAATGGCTAGTAACATGTGAATGTTAGGCTTCGTTTGTAAGACAACTGCCATTTGTCGAAGCTGTAAATTTGAAAAAGCAAGGGTGAAAATTTCAATACGCACAGACAAGGACAATGCAGAATTTTCTCTTCTTTTTTCTCCTTTTTTTGAATGTTGTTTTTCATTCTAGGTACTATTGTTGGGATACTCTACTCAACTGACCCACGCACTGAATGTAAGAATTTTGATCAAAAATGATAACTTTTTCTTGGCAAAAGTTCTTATTAAATGAAATCTGGTGATTTGGCATATTTTTTTCCCAAAATGTGTGACAAACAAAAATTCAAAGAAATTCAAGGGCTTCTTAAGAATTTCCAACTAAGAGTTCACAAACTTGGGAGCAAGTTAATCAACGCCATTTAAGGACATAGAAAAAAAAGACGAAAAAAAAAAGGTTTTCGAATGTGGCATGATAAATTGGTGCCAATGTAATATGTATATTCAAAACTCACACACGTGTGAGATGTCTTACAATATACAATACATAGCAAGGATGACCAGAAAATTTCACCCTTCTGGAATTGGATCCGAAAGACTTTCAAGTATTTTCATAATTTTTCCTTTGAGATGAGTTCTTAAGGGACTTGAAAATCAGAAAAAAAAATTGAAAGGTATTCGAGAATGTTTTAAGACTGTACAAGTCTTGTTCCTCAGGACTATTTGAAAAAAGTCGAAGAGAAAATTTTGATTGCTCGAAGGGCAAAACATGCGTGAGATTTTACCAAGTATCCAAATAAACTGGAGACATATACACAGTAGATTTCTACTTTTTCAAAGCTATATCTTTCATGGACACAGAAATTAAGCTGTGCATTTCCACCGTGATTAGTAACCCCTCTCACACGACCACAATGGATAATTAAAATCTGACAGGAAAAAACAATAGAATAAAAATCTTACGGCTGTCAAATGTTCAGTGAAGTTAATGCCTTCCAGAAATAAATTAAAAAAAATAGGTATTGCATATGGTGTACGTTTGGGGGAAATCCCCCCCCTCTCCAAAGAAAACAGTTTGTGTACACAATTTATGGGACACACCCACAATTTGGTCTTGACCGGTATGTTGGAAGGCTGAAAAATGTTTGCAATCCTGATTTCAATAAATGTAAGTTTTAAAGACATACCTTCTTAAGGACTTGACGTTGATTGTTCCTTGATCGATTTGCTCTCATGACCAGAAAAGATTCCTTGACTAGATTATTTTCTATTTCCCGAATTTTTTTCCTTAACGTTTGTACTGTACTAATGGTTTGCGTGAGCTGCTCCATGAGCGCATCATGAGACGTCATCGCATCAAAAAATGCATCCGACTTGGCAGAAACTTGCTGAGCAATTAGCACCTCCACAATATCCAGATAGTGACTCAACTGTACAGGAAAAAAGAATCTTATCAGAATGAAACCACATGTAATGAATAAGTACATTATCATATACATTTGCAGAATTAATTAAAGTAAAATTGAAAACTTTCCTTTTTTTCACTTTGTTCTTTGAAGGATAGGTTTTTCATTGCAAGAAGGTGATTCTTACTTGGCACACAGAATTGTTGCGTTTGTAAAAAACTGATCAATTATATTTGTAAGAAAAAAATAGGCAAAACTGAAAAAGAAAATATTATGTACCGTAAAAACTTATCCAAATATTCTACATCAATACTGGGAAAAATTGGGGTATCATTGCAAAAAAAGTACAAGTCTTATTATTTAGGGCTTTCATTTTGTAATTTTTTTTCAAGATACTATTAGTTCCATTAAAAATACAAACCTGCTCTTGCAATAATTTGGCAGAATTCTTTGGCGAGTGTCCATCAGCAGACTGACTGAAGTTATTCTGACCCTCTTTGATGTGAGGAAAGACAGCATTGAAAGTTTCAACTTGATTGAGATCAAAATTTAATTGAAGATAAATTTTTGGAATTAGCGATAAATCAAAATGACTTTTCTCAACTGAAACAAACAATTAAATTATACATAGGTATTGTTACTCAAGAGCACAAGTTAGTCTGTTCAAATTCATGTTTCCCTTGAGCAAAGAGCTTCAAATAAACACTCATACAAATCTATGGATAGGGAAAGATAGGGGTGCAAAAACTCCTCAACCACGGGACCACGGGAAGGCTCCAAAAACAGAGTTTTGCAATGGGAAAGCTGGCAAAATCGCGATTATTTTTACAAAACAGAGGTAAAAATCATATATTCTCCGTGAAATTTCAGTATACATTACATGCTTTGCGCAAAATCGCGGCAATTTATGCGTACAGAGCTATAAATGAGTAATCTTCTGAAATTTTTGGATAAAAGGAGGTTTTTAAATTGAAAAGACCAATTTAAAAATGGGACGGCCAAGAACTTTCTGCATCCCTGAGGAAACAGGAAGTACAGAGATGTACAAGTCACTCATGTTTTTTTATCTTTCATTATTTTCTCTCGGGAGAAAAAACACACCGAAAAGCTGAACTTGTTTCTCAGAATATGAAAAATTCTATTTGTCCATTAAAAGTGCCATATTAAGTACCATTAAAAAGATGCTGATTTCTACTGAAAGGTATCAAAGCAAACAAAATGAAGAGTTTGTATTGTGAAGTAAAAAAGCTGTGTTGAAAGGATAAGAAAAGAATCCTGTGGCAAACAGCTGAAATTAATTGAAATCTTACCAGCTGTCTTTGAGACTCGGAGTTCAGGAAAGTGTTGGAGCAATTCTGCGTTGGGTGGTGGTTTCGGACCCAGAGATGAAATCTGCTCATGGGCTTTACATCGCTTTGCAAACTTTTTTAAGTATGATTGGAAATGACTGATGGTTATATTTGGCAGATAATTGGGAGGCGGAACATTAGAGACTTCTACAAAACTATCACCCCACGTTTTGGTGAAGAAGTCCCTCTGAAAAGAATAAGAAAAAGAGTAACCAAAACGTTACTCAATATTGCAAATTCCAAGAAATATTAAACATTTAATTGCTCACGGATGAATAAGGGAGGAAAAAAAAATTGGATATATGGTATATAAAACAACTTTTCCATGGCTGAAGTTGAAAAAAAAAATGCGTGATTCCAGTTGCAACATTGTAAGTTTCCATTTATGATTCACCATTCCAAAGGGAAACTAACCAATAGTTTCTTTTGATAGTTGCAGAGGAAATTCTTAATCATTCTATGAAAAGCACACAGAATTGCACTGAGTCATAACAATTCGTTTTCCTTGAGGAAAATAAAACATAATCAGAGATTTTTATTATAAAATGTTGCAATTGAGATACACATGTTTCGCATTTAGCCATTAATATAGAAAAAGGGTCCACATGCGAGGAGGCAAAAAGGAGTATTTCTAGTCAAATTGGACGTCTTTCTGTCAAACGGAACTATGTGCATTATGATGTAAGCCCTGGGACTCATAAGAATATACTCATAACAGGGCTAACGTCATAATGCACATAGTTCCGTTTGGCAGAAATACGTCCAATTGGGTAAAAGATTCCGAATTAACTGAAGCTTTGTATAGAACTCATTTCCTGAAAGCCCAGAGTTAAGTTGAAAGCTATCGTGTTAATTTTGGTAATGGTGGAAGACAAGATACTGCAAATTAATGCAACAATTTTTAGCCCTGAATAAGGCTTGAAATAGGAGCTTGAAATAACATTTAATAGTACACAAACTTAGAACCCTAATCATTCTGGTTAGGTTGGACAATTTCTCTACTAAAAATTTTAGAAAATGCTTCTCCAAGCGATGAAGCCAGTATTTTATATTGAGTTTTCCCCCAATAAAGTCATGTTTCGGATGGACAGTCAAATTTTTATAAAAGCCAAAGCGACGTCCACAAACTATGACTGATCATTAAGGATAACATACTGTCCTTAGTTTAAATATTTGCCAATTGTTCATGCTAGAAGGACAGACCTCCTTCATGGCAATGAGCTTGGTCAATTATTTGTACAAGTAAATATCATAAAGAGAATACGAAAGGGGGAAATATATAATGACCACTAACCTTTTTCCCTTTATTTGGATCATTGAGGACTGCTGCTAGATTCTGAGAAGCAGAATAAAGGGACCATTTGTTCAGAGATGATAAATCATTGGATGAGTTGCTGGCATTTGACGCAGTGGAGATTTTCCGCTGCTCCACACCACTCATTATCGTCAGAGCGTGATGTTTGTACACGTGTCGCTCATAGTCTTCATCGCTCACGCCTTCCACTGGCAAGGAAGAACATACACCATTTTCTCCATAGCGGCAGACGAACGAGCCTCCTTCTTTGGAACAATGGATTTCTCGGAGATGGCTATGGAGAGGGAAAGAGCTCATGATTAAAAAAATCCAGATCTATTAATTCTGATTTATCTAACTCTAGCTCATAAAAGCGAAATTGATTGCTACTGAAGTTGTGGGTATTTCCTTGAAAAATATGACATAGCGCACTTCCTAAATTTATAGGAGGATAAGCAATGATAGTTCCTTCATGCATTTTTCTGATTCCAGATTCTATACGCATTGCAGCAAGACCATTTATTCCGACTCCTGATTACCTGTTCGAACCTGGTTGAAATCTGATTTAAAAATTGAAAATGTGTTTTTGTCATTGCAGATAATACTGTCTGAAGCAGCAAATTAGAATTTATCCCCAGTAACATTTGTGATGACATACATTAGGTGCAAAACCTAAGGTGAATTAGGTAGTTTGATTCACATTATTATCAGGATTATACCTATCCTACAAATGCGAAAGTGAGTACGCATGTTTTGAGAACTCATCTGTTCAGAAATTCTCAACCAGCATCACTCTTTCTGATAAAGTAGGATGTATACATACAATTTACATTCATATACTTTGATGAGAGTGGATAGTAAAGGTAAAATGTATTCTTGTCGCCTTCTTGCAAATGATTGCATAACGAACGAGTAGGCCAGTTTTAATGAGTATGTGAGCCATAACTAAAAAACAAATAAATGTCTTGCCTTTCTTGAAAGACTAACTTTATTCTATTACATGACAAGAGAGACGGGGAACTGATTTACAAAATCCTAAGGGGATAAAAATAATACTTTTATTTCAGCAGCAATTGAGCAAGGAGGGTCATAACAACTTTAAAACCTGTCTTTCCAAAGGCCAGTCATATTAAAAGGACGTGATTTAATCAGTTGTCATAATTGATTAAATGTTCACAGAATAAGGGTTGTTTGAACCAACAAGTTACATTCATATGAGTGACACGAACGCCTTACCTCAAGAAATCTTTCACCAACGGAAATGTGATGTTCGCACAATATTCACACCGAGCGAAAACTTTTTTGCGAGCAGTTGATGGAACCGGGCTTTCCATTTCATTCCAAGGAATAATTTAAGGATTAGGAGCAACCCTTTAAAAACAGGATATTGTGATAACTAGGATGCATAATCAAAATCAAGGACGAGACAATCGCTTGAAAGATTGATAACAGCTTGTAACTTAGGGTGTTGAGTGGCAAATGAAAGAGAGTGACAGAAATAAGGTAGCATTTGAGTTAAGGCAACTGAAACACTGATAAGTTCTACAAAATGCTTTCAAAATCGGCAAAATTTAAAAATTTCATCACATAGTAATCATGAAACTGATTAAATTTGAGTTGATTACAGGAATTTCGAGGTTAACTGGTTAACCCCAACTCGACAACGCAGCAACTCACCGAAAATCGGATACGCGTCAACGGTTTTGCTCAAATGCCGCTCAAATTTAAAATAGTTATCGGCTGAAGCATTCTATTTTGAAAAAATAGCTGTTTTTCAAGGATTTTCAGACAATTTCAGGGAAAAAAATTACATATCGATGACATTAAGCTCATCATCAGCACTAAGTCGAGGTCCATGAGCACCATGTTTTATGTTGAATACAGCTTCCAAAAGTTTGCAGAGGTTTCTCCGCCCGTATACCTTTACTTTTTGTTTATAACGATTTCTTTTTTCATAAGAAATAAATATCGAGTACTTCATTCTGTATGGGTGTCGCAGGCAATTAGCAATCGCCGGCAATTTGCAAGCGGTTCACGCGTTGTTCCAATAAATCGCAATAATGCGCATTGACATAGGTAATGCAATTTTTAAGGGTTATGGTCTTCAAAAGTATGAGCTCGGCTTGAAGCGCCTTCATTTTTTGTGATACTCTACGCTTTATCACGATGTTAGTTTAGTTGCCTGTTCGATCTCAACCCAACTAATGTCACGGAGTTCACTGCACGCTCTTCTAAATGTGCATATTTCTGTCATGTTTTTCAGGATGTAAACGTGTCTATTCACATTATAGGCAACGTAATCAGCACTCTAATCTTGTTCTTTTATTTTTGAATTTTATGATTTTCTACATTTATTCACCGCTGGCTTGTAAATTGTCGGCGATTGCCAATTGCCTGCGACATGGGCAAAAAGGTGGAAGCAACAGGTAAACTCTTTGACAAGAGTCAGAGTGCCTCGAATTCCAGGTGGAGCGGCCCTAGAAGTTGGGCTTCTTTATGGAATGAATTCCGGGAAAAAAATAATATTTTAAGGGGTGCCTTAATCCGAGGGGGGGGG